CTTACAACACAACAGCTTGATTGGTCACAATGTGCAAGAGAAAGTGGAGGCCAGAAGGAAGTCCCAGTCTCTGTCACTTGATCTCAGGGGTGGCATCCATCACTTTGGCTGCATCTGATTGGCTAAAACCCAGTCCCCAGACCCTGCCCACACGTGGAGGAGTGGTCACAGGTGAGTCCCAGAAAGAGGAGGTCCCTGGGGCCATCTTAGAAGCTGCGTGAGAGCTTCTAAGCACTCACTTCCCCACTTCCCCACAAGTGCTTTTATGGGATTGGATTATTTGTGCTGATGCTCAGCTGGGCTATAGGTACGTGACACACACAGTGAGGAGGAGCCCAGAGAGAGTGGTGGGCCAGGAAGTCACAGAAACCCAGACAAAGCTTTGGTCTTCCTGTGGTCACGGCATTGGGGGCTCCTCACAAGCTAGGTATGCTCAGCTAACACCCAGATTAATTTGATAAGTACACCCCAGGGCATTAACTACAGGTGCAGTGTCCAGCTAGCCATTCCTGGGCCAGAAGAGGCATCTGTGTGACATCAATAGCAAATCAAATTAGATAAGTAGGGCAGCATTCATCCCAGCCAGGCTGGAAGTGGACAACCACTTTGGCAGATCATAGGGACAGTGGAGAAACTTCTCTAGGATTCTCCTTTGATACTGGGTGTTTTTAGTGGATCTGTCAGGTCCTGGCAGGGAATGGATGGCACACTTCCAGGGAATAACTGAGGACAGATTAAGGAAGAGATTACTTTAGAGGTATGGGCCAGAGGAAGAGAAAACAAGGGTGTGACATGCCCTGGAGTTACAGCAGTTGGGAACTCTTAGCACAAGCTCTAGAAGGGAAGGGAAAGGAGCTTCTGGAGCCCAGGAAGAGCTGCAAAAAGGAGCCACCCACTGGAAGGAACATGGCCACAGCCACCTCCAGCTGGTGGGAAGAGAGCAGGGACCTCCAGCTCCCATTGGCCAACCCCAAGTTTCCACCTCCTCTTCAACTGGGACAGGAGAATGTCGGTTCTGAGCAATTCCCTGTATTCCTGAGATCTCTGGAGCTCCCTTGTGTGTGGTGGGCTAGATGGCTACTCGCAGCGCTTCTGCTCACTCCCTCCATTGTATAATTGGGCTGTACCCCTGAGAAAGGGATGGTGTGCCTGCTCCATGTGCTGTTACTTGAAAATCCTTCTGGGAGATTCCAGTAACAGGCCCACCAGTAGCAGGGAGTGCAGCTAAGTTGTAAGACTGGTTGGGAATGACTGTTGGGACAGGTGAAGTAGTTCAGGGAGGCACAAGACATGAAGTCTGCCTTGGGAAAGCAGGGGAACCACCATGTTATGAGCATAACCTATTTCCTACAAGCCCCTGGCCTTGGTGTTGGAAAATAAGTGGATGCCATAGGTAGGGGCCATCATTACACATCAAGAACTTCACAAATGGGCATGGTGGACATAGTAAATGATGGTAAAAGTTAACAAAGGGATGAGTACCCCATTTTCCTATCAACAGCACAGGATCAGCTCTGTACAACAATGGCATGTTGACATGGTGTATGTGTCTGCTTTTGCTGCGGTAACAAATAACCCCAAAATCTCAGTGGTTTCCTGTAACACATATTTATTTCTTGCTTGTGAGTATTCAGGTTGGCTGTCGCTCTACTGGGCTTGTCTGAGCTCAGCTGGGTTCCATTGATCTCAGCTTGCTTCCAAGCGACGGCTTGGGTTCAGGTCTGCATCACAAGTTTTCTCATCCATGTGTCTCCTCATATGGAGAAGTGACCACCGAGAGGTCAAGCCAAGTCATGCAAGCATGTTCCCGACGGCTGCTGGTGGAATATGTCCCGTCTGCTCATATTCCAATGGTCCAAGTACAAAGCTGGCTGGATGGGGAGCAGACTCTATCTACTGAGATGCATGCAGAGCCAGATGGCACAGGACCGGATATACAGCCCAGATTATACACTGGAGGGAGTGAGCAGAAGCGCTGAGAGCAGACATCTAGCCCACCACACACAAGGGAGCTCCGGAGATCTCAGGAATGCAGGGAAGTGCTCAGAACTGACATTCTCCTGTGACAGAACAGCCCCACCCTCCCACCTTCATCAGCATTTATCCAGTTTGGCTCATAAAAAGCCAAGGTGAAAGTGAAGGCAAACAAGGTCTTCACTGCTGGCAAGTCGTGGGTACTCCAGGGATGAGACAGCCCTGGTTCTTTTCTGAAACGATCAGCAACTGAGGCAGGGAAGGCAGAGAAGTATGAAATGAAGCACCTGTGGTGGCTGAGAACCCAGGATTTGCTGGGAGTGGTGGCTGAATTGTAAAGAGCACTGATGGAGACCACCACATGCACGCTGCAGATGTCCCGTGAGACACAGTGTGACCTAGTGTCTCTGCAGCACTTAACTTTTTATTACACATAAGCTTTACAGGGGCGATAGTGATGTTCTTAAAGGCTCTCAGGAGGTGAGGATGGACAATGTGCTTTTAAAGACAAAGAAATGCCTAATATTTAAAAGCCTACTGCTGTTTACTGTGTTGTAACTCTCCTCCCAGAGCGTTCTTCTTCAGTTAAATGCACGCACACACTCGCACACACCAAGACACAGCCACCTCTCCTTGGCAGGAAAGCCCATTGCTGAGACCCTGGGGACCAGGACTGGGGAGAATAACATAATTCTAAGTTCCACTGGATGGTAGATGAAGATTGCGGGGAGACTTCCTACCCCATCAAGCCAGGCTCAGTGTGCACGATGGACTGACCATGGGGGTTCTGCAAAATGATCTGGCTGGGCTAATATTCAAATTATTTAGTGACTTACTATATATATATATGTGTGTATATATATATATATATATATATATATATATATATATATAGATAGCCATCAGCGTGGCATAGGTCCTGATCAATTGGAGCGATGGCCAGCGCACTGGAATCTGCAGGCAGTGACCTTGAGCCCAGCGTCCAGCTGGGGGACTGTAGAAGGTGGAGCCGGGAATCCAGCAGTAGGTCTGACATTGCAAGGTGACCAGGCACAGCACCTGCCCATGTGACACGCCACTTTCCTGCGTGCAAAGGACTGTGCATTTCAACCTGAGACCCTGGGGGTCCTGCAGGGCATGAGCTAGATTTGTCTTCCTGCCTGAGGCAATCGCCAATTATGTGTGCTCTGAGGCAAGCTGGCCTCCCGCCAGAGGAGGAGGTAAAGGAATTTACAGAATCTCTCTGATCTAACTTATTAGAGAAGTTAACGGATCCCATGCAGGAGGGAGCACGGCGTCATATTAAAAAAAAAAGTCAGGATTCACACCCTTGCTTTCTGACAGACCTTAGACAACAGTTGCTTAACCCCTTGGGCTCAGTTTCTCATCTGGAGAATGGGAAGCCTGCCGCACCCACCTGGCAGGGTCATGACGATGGTGACACAAGGCAAGGAGGGAGGCAGGGCGCGCCGCAGCGGTGCCTGGTGCAGAGCTGACCCTCCAGGACGGGAGTCATGATTGTCACCCAAGATGGGAGGAAAGACCCAGGAGTGGAATCAAAGGGATGGACGGGATGGTGAGACACGAAAGCCCCATCACCTTGGGAGCATGAGGTCTGAGTCCAAGGAGCCAGCACGAAGCGGGAAAGTGGGGGGCTCCAAGGCCTTGCTGTTGGGAATCTGGGCATCCCTCTCCAAGAAGCAGGCCCACCCGGCTAAACCCGGGTGGAGCTTGGGGGGTGTTTATAACAAGGTAGATCTTCTGTGTTTGAGAATTAGCGTTAGCTGCCACTTCCCCGCCAGGATGAGAACCTGACCGGACCCCAAGTAACACCTGCAGGTCCCACCTCACACAGCCGCCTCTTCATTTTCCATAACAACCTGCGTGACACCGGAAAACACACCCGTCTCCACGAGACCTGCCTATGCTGCGGTTTAAGTCCACCCACCTCTTGCAGAATGCCACAGATTTTTGGAAACTCAAGCAGGCTTTTCTCCTCAGCTCCAGATGAGATTGTCCATGGCTGTGTGACCAGCGAGAGAACTCGGGATGTGTTGGTGGCAGAACAGAGGTGCTGGGACGCCTAACTCACCCCCGGGGGAAGGCGCGGAACAGCTTTGAGCGCTGTCTCTGCGAAGGCGTATCACCCGGAAGGTGGCAAAACCCCGCTGCTCTCACCCTCTTCGGAGCTCTGCCTGCTTGAGCCAAGCCAAAGGCTTCCTGCAAATTTCCCAAAGAAACTCCATCCCGGTCTCCAAAAGGGTCGGGCCAGTGGGCTGACGGCTCTGCTGTGGGTGTCTGACTTACACAGAGTAGATTTTTCCAACCTGTCCCCCAAGCCGAGAGCAACTTAGAACCAGAAGGACCACCTCCTCCACCAAAGAAGGACCATTGGGAAAGCCTAACTGATCACCCACCGCCATCCATTCAGCCGACTCCCGAGGAAATGGAAGGCATCTGGAAAATGTATTTAAAAATTGATTTAACGTTGAACCATGTTAAATGTTTTAATTTCCAAGCAATGCGATGCCCACCAAAACATCAATTAGACCCGGCAATCAGGCAGGGATATTGGCTTCTGTTGAGGGATTCATTTATTTCAGCTCCGCTAAATATCTGAGAAGGAGAAATCCAATGCTGCCCGGAGTGCCGAGGAAGGGAAAGTGAGCCAGAGGAGAAGCCAGATCAGAGGCCGGCTAAAAGGGCGCCTCTCCCTGCACCCCCTCCCTCCGGCAGCCCTCTGGAAGGTCCTCCGGCTATTGACAACAGACACCCCTCTTTCCCAGAGCCTGCCTCCAGACTGGGACAGGAGAGGCTGAACCGGGGCGAATGGCCCCCCGCTGAGGACACCCGGCAGCTTTAGAACCTGCAAGATCATTTTTAAGTTATTCTTCCTTTGGAGGCTTTTCCATTTCAAGGCCCCGGGTCTCTCTGCCCCAGGGGAGGCCATGGGCTGTAGGAAGTGCCCTCCGTAGACCTCTCCTCACCTGGCCGGCTGCGGGGGCGGGGCAGGTCCAGCTCAGCCCTCACCACGCAATCCTGGGCAGCAGAACCAGCAGAGGGCAGCCGAGCCCAAGACCCCGGGAGGCGGAGGCTCCTGAAAGGAAGTGCCAGGCGAGAGCGGAGGTGAGGTCTCGGTGCCCACACGGGTGCACCCGCCGCACCTTCCCACCGCAGACCACTCGGTCTCGTCAACCTCAGGCTGGCTGGACATTAAATGGGAATTATGACCCCAAAGTGAGTGGAGGGGCAGGAGTGAGAATTAAGTGAGTGTGCCAATCGGTGTGTGCAGAGATGCCTTAGCCACCGGAGTCACCTGGAAGGTGCACATTCCAAATTAAAAATGCAAATTCCAGGCTCCTTCCCGCCGGCGCTGATGCAGCAAGTCTGAGCCAGATTCTGTAGTCAAGCGCAGCTCCCGGGGGTATCAGAAAACAAAGCAATTTATGAAGGCCTGGTCCCCAGGATGGGTTCACCCAGCGTCAACCCTACTCAGGCCAGACCGGTGAAGGAAGGAGAAGGGAATTAGGATCTAGGACCTTCGGGGACACATTTTTAAAGAGTCCTTTCCACTTTCCCACATGCTGGTTGGAAGGAAAGCTGGCATGGCCTCTCTGCAGGGAATGTGGCAGTGCCCAGCAAACAACAAATGCGGGTGCCCTCTGACCGAGTAATCCCACTTTGAAGTGTTTATCCTGCAGACATAATTGGAACAGATGCAAATTAAACAATGCCTTCCCTGCGGCACCATTTCTAACAGCCCCTGGTGGCACAAGGGGTTAAGATGCAACCTATGAAGCTATCCGCAGCCACTGCGGCACAGGTTTGATCCCCAGCCAGGGAGCTACCCACATGGTGCAGCAGACCTCTCCCGACTTGCCCGCGGCTCCCCTCAGCAGTGTATTTCCTTCAGTCTGCCTGTTCTGCCCACTCTGTCTCTGGTGAATCCTCTCACTCCCCTCCCCGCACCTCTGGTCTGTACCCCAGTTCTTGTGTGCATAAATAAACAGATAATTTAAAAAAAAATAGAAACAATTGAAATGTCCACACACAGAGACTTGGTTACAGATGTTTATGGTGGAGCCAGAAAACCAACAATTCGTAGCTCCTATGTAGAGATACAGCACTGTCCCCAGGGCAGATCATTACATGAGAAATGAAAGGGATAGAATGAGTGTGTCAGCTTTCATAAAAGTGCAGAGACCCTGTGGATGTGCACAGAACATCTCTGGACACACCAGAACCTGGTCACCCAGGTGGCCTCTGGAGAAGAAACTGCATGTCTCGGAGAAGGGGACCTTCCTCTGCATACTTCTTCAGACTCGGCCTGTCTTGAAGCATGTGCATCGCCTATTGCGTGTCTTACAGAACATACACAAAACACTCTACCATTGAAAAATACTTTTTCAGTGTATGCCTGTTATAGTCCAGTGAAAACCCCAAAAGGCAATCATAACAAATCAAAGGACACAGTTCCCGTGTGCCAGGGCCACTCCAGGCCCTTGTGGCGGAAGAAACGGCCCCTGATTTGCCATCCCCGGGGAGGCTGGGGTGGAACCGGGGCTCTCCAGTCAGGAACCGTGTCGTGGAGCCTTCAGTTCTTCGCTCTCTGGGTCTCTGCATACCTGCTCCTCTACCTGGCCTCCCTCCACCTGGCTGAGGCCACCTTCTCCCCAGCTTGGCTGCCTCTCCCACACGTGCCCTCGCATGGCCATCTGCAGCTATGCCCCCCCCCCACCCCGTAAGGGAAGCTCAGGGAGGACCTAGGACACATCTGGTTTGTTCACTGCCACTGCCATGTCCCCAGAGCCGAGCATCCTGCTCAGTGCAGAGCTAGTGCTCACTCCAGACGGGAGTCCAAAAAGGTGGGAGAGCAGGGAAGAAAGAGAGCCAGGAGGGGGGACGTGGGAAACAAAGCCCTGTCCTCCCCGCTTCAGCTCAGCCAGAGTTCCCCTGTCTTATCAGATTTGAAATTATTTTGTTCACTTACAAGAGGACCTTCCCTGTCCCGGTCACCCCAGAATTGTCAGCCCCACTGGAAGCTTAGCACGCAGGTCTGTGCCCAAACATACCCGCTGAATTTATTCATGAGCACTGGACAGTGCGCAGGCGGAGGGTGCAAAGGAGCCGCTGAAATGAGCTCCGTCCTGAGAAATTGCGGCTCCGTGGGGTCTGGGAGGGGTCTGCCTACCTGCAGGCTGCTAAAACCTCCCCCAGGTGACCTCACACACAGCAGGAGTTGAGAATCATTTATAAATGCTTGCTTGGGGGTGGGGGTGGGGGTGTGTTTTTTTCCTGAGTGAGAATCCCCAATGCCTGTCAGAAACTCCTCCCTGAATCTTAGCAACCTTCCCGCCCAGGCTCGGCACAGGGGTGGGGCCCAGGGGGGCGGCTGCCCCACTCACCCCGGGTTGAAGGCGAAGAGGGCGTCCGGGCGGGGCTGCTGCTCGGGGGCGCGTCGAGCCAGGCGCGGGTCTTGGCGCCATCTAGCGCCCATTGGAGGCTCTGCAGCTGCAGCGCGCTGAGCTGCCGGCGCTGGGCGGGGGTCACGGCGGCTGCGTTCTCGGGGCCCAGGGACGCGACCTGCTCCGCGGACAGCTCCTGCAGGGGGTGGGGGGCAAGGGCGGAGCGCTCAGGGGCGCCCAACTCGGGGCTCCTCAAACCTGGGTCGTCCATCAGGGCCCCGCACAACTTTGACGTGGTGCCTATGGACCACCTGTGCTCAGTTTAAGAACTTTTCCTTAAATTAGATCACATTAAAGGAGACTTGAAAAGGAAGTCATGATTTTTCTCACTGTGTAGCTTAATGTTTAATGCAATGCAAGGTACCCCCTGTGCTCCAAGCTCCCCATTGAGGAAACACTGGTGTGGAGGAGAAAACACAGGTGCTAAGAATTCATCTTCTGTGCAGACTCTGATCCTGTGGTGTGACCGCCATGGAAAAGCGAAACCTTAGTATGTCTGCGGTGGGAACTGGGTGCAGGAAATCCTCTTGCACACTATGCCTTTGAGGACCCTCAAGTGTTTTCTGAAGTCACTTGGGTATGGAATGCAATGGGCCAGCAGAATTCTGCATTTATAGGACATCCTCTAAAGTCATCCTGCTTATTATTTTCAGCAGGATTCTGAAAAGGGGGGTTATGCTTCCTTATTCCTTCCTCTTCTCTACTGTCTGGGGACATGCCTCCTTGGAGTCATGTCATTCTCTTGCTTAAACCTTTCCTTGCATCCTCTCAGGACACACAGCAAGCCCCAAATGTGACAACAAGGTCTTCTAGGTCCTACTCACTTCTCCAGCCACACCTCCCAGGTATTCTTCCTTCCAGGACAGTGAGCACCCACACATGTGGCCCCAGAAGGCAGCACCTTTCCATGCATGTCCCTCCCCCAGAACACTGTTGCCCCTTCTCCACCTAGTTAACCTGTCCTGCATGATTTAGTATCATCTCCCTCTCACCACACATGCACGTACACACACACACACACACACACACACATACACACAGGGTTTGGGTGTTCTTTCATGCTCACACTTTACATCTACCATTAACAGAGTCTAGTATAAAAAAATTATCTGGTTTTCCAATATTGTTGACTCACAATCCACAGGCCAGATTGAATCTCTAGGCCTACTGCACTGGGTTTCAAAACATAACTTTAAAGTGCTTGCCAACATTTAATTATCAAGAGATTTCACATGGAAATGGGGGATTCTGGCTGCTTCTTTAACAAAAAAAAAAAAAAAAAAAAAGAATATCCAGCAGTACTGGCCCCACATTGTCACACCGTACTAATGTGCCAGAGATGAGAAGCAGCCTCTCCATTCTCCATTTAGGCAGTTCACCTCGGTCCCTACCCAGCCCATTTCACTCCTTTGTGTTTGCTTCCAGGCTCCTGAAGGCACCACGCTAGACCCCTTCACTGCTCATCCCCAGGTACAGCTAACCTGGATCCAACCACAACATAGGGGGGGTCAATAGGCTTTTCTGGAATAAACACCTGAACAAGGAAACAGCCAAAACTGCACTGCAAACAAGACTAGAAGGTACTCAGCAAAATGCCAGCATCCGGGACAAGTTGACTGTCCCACATATTGCAGCCCCGAGGGGAAGCTAATGGTCTTTAGGACTGTCTACTAAAGCAGATTTTGCACCTGTGCTGGGTTAGGAGCTGTCTTTGGTACTGAAGTGATTCAAAGTCTATCACCCTAAAAAAGTGCCAATAAAGTGGCATCGTGGGTGTTTGTCTGGCCTTATTTAGGTGTCTTATCCATTTGCAGTAGACAGAAAGTGTTCCCAAGTCACCCAGGAAGCAAGAAAACCACGGTGATCCCTCATTAGAGCAAGCCTGTTACCACTGAACATCTCCTAATTTTGTACATGGACAGGAAACAAGGACCGCACTGGAGACCCTGCTTGCCTAATGGATCCAAGTCCACCATCTCAATTTTTTTCCACAGTAGTTTATCACCTGTCCTAGTGTGGTTTTCTTGATACTTTTATGTAAATCAACCAGAATATTTTCACTTAAATTTATTTTAAAAGAAAATGTATATAGGTCTACAATTCTAAAATTCTCTCCCCAAAAATTTAAAAACCCAAAGTTTTTTTCCAAAGTTTAAGACAAACTTATTCCCTAGAAAAACCTGACCTGAACTGATGTGAGTCCATTTATTGTCTCTATTTACTCTAATTAGTGTGACTGTCACACATCTTCACAGAAATATTAACTGTTTGCTTACAAGGTGCTACCCTAGACACTGCTGGGGGTGTTCAGTTACATACTGTAGATTCACAGTGATCTTATAAAATCTGGAAAATTCTGAATTCTGAAATAGATCTTATCCCAAAACGTTTTGGATAGAATATAAACCTGTCGTATCATCGTAAATAGGAAATCAATACCACTTGTTATGAAGGGAAGCCAACCATAAAAATAAATACAACAAAAATATAAATTTAAATTTAATTTAAAAATTTAAAAACTACAATTATCTTGCAACCCATCCATTGCTGTGTGCAATTCTCTTCTAGCCCTGTCAGCAGAAGCCTGGTTGCCAGCCCCTAAAATGCTGGGCCTGCCATCTGCTTCCCTGTGTGATCTGAAATGGGGTCAAGATCCCATTCTCCTTGAGGAACTGAGTACCTACTTTGAATATCTCATCAGGAAGGCATTTGATTGCTGATGGCTGGAAATATGGCATCAAATCCTTGTCGAGTATTCGGAGCTCTTCCTTAGTTAATCCAGCTGGGGAGAAAAAGGAATCACAAGGGTTTAGTTCAAGTCTTCAGAATTCTGCTTGTTTTATTAATGGTGCTGCATAATGTACAGATCAGTATGTTCTAGGCAAACATCATTCCTTACAGAAGGCCCTGAAAATCGCACTGGGGAATCAAGTTGCTTAATCAACTCAAGAAAAATAAAATGTGGGTCACATAAGTCCTGATTGGTCTCCTACACTGAAATGTATACCCAGAAGGAACTTTGCATTATGCAATTTCAGACTGTGTATAAACCTATTTAGGAGTCGATTAAATCACATCCTCAACCACTTTAGTGTACACAAGAACCACCAAGAGAGTGTGTTTAAAAGTAGATTCGAAGACCCCACCTTCTGCAACTTTAAGTCATGAAGTCTAGGTTCTGCTGTAACTATAGGTGTTCAACCTACATGCAAGGAGCTCTATCATTTCTTTTTGTTGGAAAGGGAGAAAACAAGGTGCCTCTTACCTGCAATGGTCCCGAGTTCCTGCAAGACAGAGCTGGACCAGTCAGTGGGATCCCCAAAAACAACTTCCGCCTTCCTCTTAAACTCAGCCAAGACGTGGGTGCTGCAGAGCAGGGTGCCAATTCTGGCTACCACCACCCTGGTTAAAAGGGAGGGATATAGTATGATTATAAAATAAGTGATCAATCATTTGCCATTTGCACACTAGCGTTTAGGTTACCTGAATTCTGAGATCTTTATCAGTGAGATTTCAGTGATGTTCATAGCACACAGGATTGCACCAAGTCCTACTAAGTGGAAGCTCTTCAAGTCCTGGATACTATAGCCTGAATCCTCCAGGAACCCTCGCAGAATAGATCTAGACTGTAAAAAATGAGGGAGGGTAGGAGATGAGCTATGCAGACATGATGAAGACCCCAGAGGATAACTGAGCTATTGCAGTACCTGACTGATGTCCCAGGCCACTCCTCTCCATGCACCCCACACTCCAAACCACCCTAGCCACTGCCCCCAGGTGCTGCTTCCAGTGAGTATGTCCCCTGGTCTTTGGAGGTGTCTTTAGGCAGTGGAAGTTCTAGTGCCCTTCACCTTCACATGAAAGGAATGTGAGTCCCGTGTCTGTGTCTGCTGGTTTGTTTCCTTCAGTTACACATGACCTTCAGAGTTTGGGCGCTGAAGTTCTGCATCTAAACTCTTCCAGCATCTGCTTCCACAATTACCTGACAAAACCTTGTAATTTTCTGCTTTTTCGTCTTTGCTCAAATCAGCCCTTCCATCCGATGTGGGCTTCCTTCCTCCCCACCAGTTAAAATATAACCTGCCTTTTATTGGGGGCATTCAGGTTAAATGTCATCTTCTTCATAAAGTCCTGTTTCCGTCAAAATGACTTTTTCTTTCTCTGCAGACCTACAGAAATAATGGCTCCTACAGAAGTGAGTTTGCCCCCACCCCCACCCCAACTCTTCAATTGCAGAGAGTGATACATAAATATTTTGGTGTTGAAAACCACAAGGATCTCTTCACTGAGTTCTTACTTAAGGGGGTTGGTGCAGAAGGTCCCTTAGTCCTATCACAGTGGCCACTCGTGGCTCTCCCGGAGAGCCAGCCTTCCCACATTCTTACTTCATGTGGCTCTTGGAATCGCCTACAATCTGAGCTCTAGGGAAGGAACTGAACGATCAAGTCATCTCTTAGACTTCAGGGATCGCTTCTAGATTAGGCATCTGATCCAGGCAAAGCCAAGCATGGACTTTGGCTTAAACAATCAAAAGGGAAGATCTTTCTTCATTCTGGACTGAAACTTGGAAGGATAAACTTGCTCTCAATGATTACAAAGCTCACGGACACAACGGAGAAACTCAGTACCACCGTGTTTAGACTTCAATATCCTTTACCAAATAAGAGTGTGCATCCAAAATAACACCTTGTATTTACTGAATGCCTACTGTGTGCCAGCACTGTTTCGACCACTTGACACATACTATTTCATCTAATTCTTGTAACAACCCTACAAAGTAAGCACTAATATTATTCCTATTTTACAAGTGAGGAAACTGAGCACAGAGAGGTAAAGTAACTACACCAAGGTTACACAGCTAAGTGTAACTTTGTGTCTGGGATTAAAACCCAGACACTCTGACTCCTGAACTGCTACTCTTTGCCAATGAAGATGTCTGGATATAGAGGAAAGATGAAGATTCAAGTTAGCTTCTGAACTTCTCTTCTTATGTTTTCCTAATCAGGTTTCAGTAGTTCACTCATGGCAATTTGTGCTCCCCAACTATCAGACATGCCCATTTTAAAATGAAAGTGCAAAAATACAATTCAAATAGAATTACTTTGAAGATGCGGTATTAAATCGTCCTTGCCGCTGGAACCTGGAAAATGCAAGCTCAGCCTGCAAAGTGATAAGGCTAGATACATTTCCTTGAATGTCTGGACAGTGTGTATGTAATGATTTCAAGACAATTAATACCAACACTTTTAGGCAATATTAACCTCTGAAAAAATGAATAGCTGTAAGATTTCAATCTTTCTGTACATCCCTCTGGCTTCAATAATAGTTTTTCCCCCCTTATATTGGTTTTTAAGTTGAACTATCTGTTAATGTAGTTCTGCCAGCTATGACTATTAATCCAGAAACATGCATTTAAGGGTTTGATTGGGAGCTAAAGTTGAGGAACTGACTGCAAATGATATATGCAAATGTTAGGTTTTCATATCCTCTTCAAACATATTGATAAGTCTCACAGCCATCCATAGGAATTAAAATTGGTGTAAAGGGAAAGATACCCTCCAGCTTCTAAGTTGGTTATATTTTTTCTGCTTTCTTCCAGACTATGAATAGCATGATGCTAATATTGGGAGGTGACATTGTACTTCGAAAAACCAGTCAAAACCAGTTTTAGAATCACAGAACCCTGGGATTACAGAATGTCAGAGTGGAAGGATACTCGCATTGCTGAGTCCAACCTCTCATCTTGCAAATGAGAAACTGTTAAACTCCCAAAGCGAAGGAGCATCATAATGATGGTGGTGGTACTGATGATGGTGATGGTGAGGGTGGTGGTGGTGGTAACATGACAAAGATGATGACTACAGCAATGACAATGAAAGGAACAATAATTAAATTGTATTGGTATGAAGCATGCCCAAAATGTTTTACAGGTAATAATTTATCTAATCCTCATGACCAGGACCTCCAAGTTGCCCAGCTCCACAGGGACAAATTTCACACTGTATTCTGTTTGCAGGGTGTCACCCAGAGTTGTGTGACAAGGCAATACTGATTACAAAAAGGCTCATGAAAGTAGGGGACATGACCTAGCTTTTGCCTTCCCAGCAACCCCTCTCCCTTTGTTTGATACCATCACCCTTTTCCTTTGGCAAACCACCCTGTATTTACATCCTTTTACTGCTATCACAAATGAACATGCTCTCTGTGCCTTATAACAACACAAATGTATTCTCTTACAATTCTGGAGGTCATACGTTCTGAAACAGGTGAACAGGATGTGTCTCTTTGGGGGTGGGTCTATAAAGAATTCATCTCCTTGCCTTTTCTAGCTTCTGGAGGCTGCCTGCATTCTGTGGCTCACAGCCCCACCCTCCATCTTCAAACCCCACAGCACAGCACCTTCAAATCCCTCTCAGTCCCTCTACTTCCATTGTCACATCGCCTTTTATATCGGCAACCTTCCTGCCTCCCTCTTATAAGGACCCTTGTGGTTTCATTGGGTCCACCAAGATAATTTCCCTTCCTCAAGATACTCAATCATATCTGCAAAGTCCCTTTTTGCCTCAAAAGGTAATATAATCCCAGGTTTAAGAGATTAGCATGTAGACATTTTGGGGGTCTTTATACAGTCTATCCCATGACCAGTCCCCACTCTTGGTCCATATGGTCAGTGCAGAGACTCCACTGCCTGGTGCATGCCTGCCTGCACAAATGACAGATTTGCCCCAACCAGAGTGACTGTTCCGGGGTAAGCAATTACATGTTTGAGTCAATGCTGGGACTTTTTCAAAAATTAATGAGAAAGGGACACTTTTTATGAAGTTACTAATTAGATAATATGTATGCCTAGTGCTGAAAATGACCACTGAGAGAGAGCTGCCTGAGAATAAAGATGACACAGAGCAGCTAAGACACCCTTTCTGGCAATACAGTCACGAATTGCTTAGCAATGGGGCCATCGTCTGAGAAATATGTCCTTAGGAGACTTCAAATCTCCTGCAAATAAGGAAGAAAATATGAACTTGCAAGTAAGAGAAAAAAACAGTCAGTAAAAACAAATTCAGAAATGAAAGTGAGGATGGAATTAGTATAAAGATTTAAAAACAGCTATTATAACTACTATAAATATGTTCAAAACTGAAGCAGAACTGGAGTATTTAAAATCTCCTGCAACAGCAACCAACCTGTTCTGAGGTCCATTCTGTTTGCTGGCTTAGGGAAGCCACAGTGTCAATGGAACTGAGATCCAGCTGCTCCAATTCACTCTCATTAAGAGCCAGAGCAATGCGCCCCAAGGAGATGATATGATGTTCTCTCCAGTAAGAAGGCAGGTCCCAAGCCTATAGATGAAATCAAAGAGCCAAGTGAGAGGAAATATTAGTGACAGTAATTGAAACTGACATAGGCTAAATGTCCTTAATATATAAAGTTCACTTATAAATCAATAATAAAACTACATATTTTTTTTTAGAAATATCATTGGCTTTTTTTTTCCCCCACAAAGATTTATTTATTTATTTATACATACAAGCACTGGGTACAGTCAGAAGCGTGGGAGGGTGAGAGAATTCACCAGAGCCAGAGCAGGGAGCAGAGCAGGCAGAGGGACCGAAGTACACTGCTGAGGGGAGCAGCGGGCGGCAGGAGAGGTCTGCGCGCCATGTGGGACCCTCCTCTGGTGGCTGGGGAGCAGCCGGGGATCGAACCGGCGCTGCAGAGGCTGCGGGCAGCTTCGCAACCCAGTGCTCAACCGCTGCGCCACCGGGGAGGCCCATTTTTTTTAAGTAGACAAAAGACATGAACAAGAAATTTGCAAAAAAAGAAGTAAGCATACATTTAAAAAGTTCACTCTTGGTCATAATTAAAGAAATGTACATGAACAACAATCAAAGAACACCATGTTGGCCAATCATATTAACCAGGAGTAAAACACTGATCATTTATAAGGTTGGAAAGACATGGGGTAAAGTTTACCTTCAATTGTAGATGTTGAGAACATAAATTCACATATGCATTTTAGAGAACAATCTTGCTATATGTATTAAAACATTTTAAAATATTTATACACTCTGCCCCAGAAATTCCATTGCTAGGAATTCAGCCTAAGTATATGATATGAATGTCCAAAGAAATATGAAAATGTACCTTGAGGCATTAAAAACATATAAACAACCTAAGGGTCTAACAATTAACTAAATAAGTAAGGACCAGCCTTGATTGAACTATTACATGGCTATTTAAAATCCTGATATTTTTTCCTCATATAGAAAATACGCATTGCATATTGTTGGATGTAGAAAGCAAGCAATTGCATAGTAGGTGAAAATGATGTTATTTTTGTTCCATGTATACATGAGTACATATGACATACACGTGTGAGATATATAAATACATTTTATACACATATGTAGAAGTGGGTTGCTTCTGGTGAATATACCAAAATATTTTCTGGGTGAAAGATTACAATTGCTTTTCTTCTTCACTTTTTTAAGACATTTTACAATAAATTTGCATTATTTATATAAATAATAAAACTATAACTATTTTAAGGAATATAATGCCTTAACCCCAGGAGGCTAGATATTCCAAACTATTGGAACAGCTATAACTAGTCACTCAGAGGGACATTTTTTAAAATGGCGACCTACTTTCAGTTTTCTCTTTACTCATTTCTGCTGTTTTTCAGACAGTTTTGCAACAGGTTCTGAAAAAATCCTGCTGCCGGCAGCAGCTGGGGTTCTGGAAGTAAAGGAAAACACAGAATTCCTGGACACCATCTCTGTCAGAGGTGCCAAACATCCAAAGAATTTGGTTTCTTCAATGCCAACTAAACGCCAGAACATGTCTCATGCTGTTCTCCACTGCAGCCCTAACAGGAAGGAACTAGAAATCTCCCCATTTCTCAGATTCAGAGATCACAGCAGGGGCACCGAGCTGATGCTGTGAAATTTTAACAAGTGAAACCCTGAGGAGGGCAATGCACAAGTGCTGTGACTGTTACGTGGTTGCTGGCTTGGTTTTTCCCAGTCAAATGCTGCCTCCCTGAGGTGGGCTTCACCTGGACTGCCTGCTCCTTCAGGGTCAGCAGCTGAGCCCGGCTGAAGCCCCTCACGGCCCCCAGCAGCTCCACGTTCCTGATGAACGTATCTTCCTCCATGCAGAGCAAGTCCGCGGGGGCCCAGCAGACATTGGCTTCCGCCAACTTGAAGATGTCATCAGAAGAGGGGGCCAGGACTCCGCGGCAGCCTGCAGAAACGGGAGGTGCAGGGGAGGAATGGAGAAAAGAGAATTTCAGGAATGGTGAGTCTGTTTCTACATTGAAATGAAACGAGTAACGTTCTCCACTTGGATTTATTGACGAAAGAAGGTGTAGTTCGAAATGGAGAGCAGGGGCTTGGGGGCTTTGGGTTCCACTCCTGCCATTTCTTGCTCATTGCCTGGTACTAAAATCGTGGAAATGCCAACTTTTTTGCACAGCCACGTGCACACAGTAGGAGCTTTGCAAGTGGACCACAAATGGCCTTGAAGGCAGTAGGAGCAGCCAGTGAACAACTCTGGCTTCAGATTCAAATTCCAAACCCCTCTTTTCCTCATCTATAAGCCGTCTGCCCTGGCCCCTAAGATCGGCTTCCTGAATGTGTCTCCAAAAACAGTTGGTGTTAAGATCTCCAGGGCAACTGTTGATTGGAAGGGTCAAGGGAGGACAGCGAAGCAGGCCATTCAGGACAGGCAGGGCCAGAGGTCTCTGCACTCATCATCAAGGCCCTCAAGAAACTGCCAAGAGACAGAAGGAAGCAGAAAAACATGGAAATCATTATTTTGGTGAGATTGTCAACACAGCCTGACAGATGCAGCACCTGTCTTTAACCAGAGAACTCTCTAGAACCCTTAAAGAGATTCTAGGGACTGCTCAATCGGTGGGCCACCACCCTTAAGACAGCATAGGTGACATCAGCAGTGCTGTATTACAAAGAAAATGTTTCAGTTAAGGATCATTTTGGGGGAAAAATGTATTTGTTTCAGGAAAGCAAGCACAGACTGCCAACAATTATTATTACAACGATGGCATCTGACTCACTTTCCTCCTCCTGCCTCCACCTGCGTCATAGGTACACAACACCTAATGTTTAGCAAGCATTTCCTACATACCAGGCACTGTTCTGAATATGCTTGCAGGTTTAAACCCATCAATCTGTTATAGGACAGGGAGAGGGGCAGCCCAAAACCCCTGGTAGCAGAGGACAGGGAGAGGGGCAGCCCAAAACCCCGCAAACCTGCCTATTCTAAATGGGTTCTGCCATCCGCCGCATCAACACAAAACATAGGAGACTTTAATGGGAAGGAACTTTAATAAAACTAGGAAACAACACAGGTAAGGCAAAGAATCTAGTTTCTAAATCAAGCACCCAAAGTTATCCATCCCCTCGTGGGTAAAAGTCCATCCATATGGGATCGGCCCAGAGCAAGGCCCCAAAGCCTGCCACAAGTCTAAAGCATCTTCCAGTGGGGACCCACAGAAAAGGGTCACAAACAACCGGACAAGCCCGGAAGGAAAAGAGCAAAATCAACATCAAGATAAAAGCTGCCATTGTCACCTCCCCACGGGTCTCACCCACATCCGTGTCACCCAGTCCACGACCAAAAGACAAGCGCAGTTTCTTCACGTGTCTCTAGGCTCCACGCGCCTCCTCCAGGTCTCCTGGCTCCATCCTGCTTCCTTCCTCAGTCTCTTCCTGCAGCTTCTTCTCTTCCTGCTCAGCTCCACCCTCCCTTGGGTGGGGCAGGGAACCTCCCCCTTTCCTGGGGACCACCCTGTTGCAAATCCTCACAATAATCTAATCAGGTAGGGGCCTTCATTATCCCCAATTTACAGAGGACAGAAACAGAAACTTACCCAAAGCCACTCAGCCAGCAAACAGCAGACCCAAAGTTGAAATCCAGCCAGCCTGACCCCAGCCCTGCAATGCTTAGGCCACACAGCCATTTGGCCCCCAAATTTAAAGATTTCAATTGTTTTGAAATGTCTGTTGTATGTGTTCACCCACTAAACCTGCTAGCCTGGGTAAGGAGTCAAGGAGGGCAGGGTGTGATTCCAAATCACTTCACAAAGGTGGGGTCTTGGATCTATAGATTCTTGCCATTTTATTGCCTTGCAAACATTTCTCCCAGCCCCCTCACAAGGAGGCTTGTTGCAGACACTCAGTCAAAACGCGGATACCCCAAGAATCCTCACCGGGGCTGGGGTCCAAGCGGGTGCTCTCCTCACTGTTGTTCCGAACAGATTCAAAGACAGCCCAGAGGAATTCTCGGGGGAGCAGATGCCCGGCCATCTTGCTCACTGTTTGTTGAAGGATATCAGGAAACTGTGAAGGGGGAGATAAAAGCGGAGGAGCAAATAATAATTAAAACCCCATTAAACACAGATTTAAATCAGAGTTTAAACGGTAACACTACTTACCCTTTCGGTTTTATTCCTTCCTAGCAGCTTCCCAGGTCAATATCATCCCTAGACCAACCAGCCTAGTCTCTAGAATCATATAAAATGATACCAAACCTCAATAATAACCCAGTAAATATTCAATTACCTAAGTTATTCATAAATTTTTCACTCATCAGATTTTCAAAAATAAAAACAAAGTAATACCTGGTGCTGGTCAAGATACAGAATTACACACACTTAGTTTCCTGTGGGACCATTTCCTGTTGCATTATTTCAGGGTAGTCTGATAATATCTTTTTTTTTAAGATTTATTTATTTATTTGTTTGTTTATACAAGCACTGGGTTCAGTCAGAAGCGCGGGAGAATGAAAAGATTCACCAGAGACAGAGCGGGGAACAGAACAGGCAGACTGACGAAATACACTGCTGAGGGGAGCAGCAGGCGCAGCAGGAGAGGTCTGCACACCATGAGGGACCCTCGCTGGTGGCTGGGGATCAAACCGGCGCTGCAGAGGCTGCGGGCAGCTTCGCAGCCCAGCGCTCAACTGCTGCGCTACCAGGGGAGGTCCTGATAATATCTATTTTTAACAATGTGCGTCCACCCCTTTCTGTCCTGGTATTATATTTAAATGTTATTAAACGTTGTATTTATCATAAAAAGGAGAAAGAGAAGGTTATCTCTGGATTCTGGCTGAAGACTAGCAGTAAGGAGGCTCTTGGTTGCCTTGGAGAAGATGCCATTCCTCGTTTAGAATAAAGCATTTGCCAAGACTTGGGATGTTATCTGTCAACCTGTCTGTGAGTCCAGAGAATTGACCAACTGCCCCATAGAGCTGTGCATGCCTTTGTCCCAGCTCAAACAGAGAAAGTACCTTCAGGTTCTATTGGTCCTCTTTCCTGTCTAATCTTCAAAATCTGACTCACTCTCTCAGCCAGAAGAGCCCCATACTGGCTGCAGGTGATAAGCAACTGGGAAATCGACAGATACACCAGGGTCACCCCAGAGATTTCATCTGTCCATTTTAGAATCTCCCCCATGACTGTCCTGTGCAGGAGAGCCAAGAGCAACTGCTCTAAGAAAGTGGCTGACTTTCAAAAAGCCAAGTGTCCAGTGGAGTGAATGGTATTTTCCATTTTGTGTCTTTAGATACAAGAACATGTATAAGGCCGAGGAGGATTTTTCAGAAGAGAGGAGAGAGGATCCGAAACAGCCTTGCCTCGGAGTCAGGCTGAGGACCTAGAAATGTGGGGTGAAGGCAGACTCATTTTCATCCTGCAGTCTTGAGGAGAGTTGGGATTTTTTAAACCAATAACATGTTTTACTTGTTTTATTAAACATTTCATGCATTAGAACAAAAAGCATAGAGAATAATGCAACAAAATACACACACACCCACAGCCCAGCTTAAGAAATAAAACATCACACGTATAATTGGAAGATCCTCCCCACATCACCTCCCTCCTTCCCCAGAAGTAACTGTCACCCTGAATTTGATTATATTTGATCATCACCCATTCTCATGCATTTTTAAACATCTCTTACATAACAGGATTATTTTTTTTGCAGGTGCTTAAAATTAATTTAACTAGTATTTCTTTATCTACTTAGTATCCTACTATACACATCCACTTACAACTCACTTTTATTTTACCCTATATTGTGTTTTGGAGAGAAGACATTTGTCATTTCAAAAGCTGAGCTGATTTTTTTTAATGGTAAGTATATAACATTTTTGTCTCTGCTGCTGATACCACACATCTGGACACCTGGAGGATGGCTTTTTCCTTGACTGGACACTGGAATGTGGACTGGGCATGTGTGACCCTGTATGATGGTGCCAAGTGTTCATATCTTGTCAAGCGAACATGACAACATGTTGTCTTTGCCTGTGTGAGTACAGGGATGAGGCATGGGCATGTGTTCTGTGGCCGACCTGACTCTCGTTCTGCCCGCAGTCACTCCTTCTCACCCTCCATGTACATGGAGGAGACAGCTCCTGCCCCAGGGAGGCTGGGCCTGGTCATGTGACTTGCTGTGGACAATGGAAAGTGACAGTGTGCCACCGTCCAGCCCGGACCTTAAGAACTGCTCTTTGCACTCCCTTTTCTGGAGTTTTGGACCTTCCCTTGAGAAGGACAAATTTCAGGGAGCCCCAGGCCCAAAAGGCAAACTCCCAAAGCAGAACTGTCCCGGTGACCCTGAGAACAGAGTGGCAGCTAAATGACAGCCCCCAGGTGTGCGTGCATCTGCCAGGAGGCCACGTGAAAGACCCAGAATTCACTTAGCTGATGCTTCACTCTCTCTTGCTGAAGTGGAGCGAGAAGCGAGAAACGTCTGAGCCTTTGAGGCAGGGAGGAAGTTTCCAGGGGAAAAAAAAACTGGCAGCAAACCCAATGGAGTATAACTGACCACACTTTCTCTCCCTTTCAAATTCCTTCGACCTTCTAACAATAGACCCCAAAAGTACCTTTGTGGCAATAGAGCTTAAGTCATCCCCAGAGAAAAGGACTAGAAAGGGTCCCAAGTCCTTCGTGGTCTCAGCTGTCCAGTTCTGGGGGAGTCTAAGAAGAGATAATAAGCGGTAAATTGAAAGACTGTTCTGTGACCCTTGTCCCCCAGCACCCTCTTCTTTCAGAAAAAGACGATCTCTTATCTAGAGAGGCTGTCAATCACCTCGTCCCACTTCCTTCTCTAAGAAAATGGGCTTCTGATCCAGGCTGACCGATCAGAGGCATCTCTATGCATTTTGATAGAACTAGTAGAGGAAATCTTCCTTCTGGTATCGCTAACAGTTAGGAGGATATTAGAAGCTTTTCCTATCTCCAAGGAGAGAAAATAAAGACTTCATTAAGGAACACAGAGGAACAATCCTGATGATATAATTTGAGCCTCTGGATCCAGCCATGCCTGAAGTCCATTAAGCTCCATTTCTGAACTCAACAAATTCCCATTTTTTAGCTTAAATTGAATCACAGAATTTGTCATTTATTTTGTAGTGTTTCCTTCCTCTGCTTCCTCAATAGAATAGTAATGATATATTTGTTCCCTTCAAATTGCCATAATAATCTTCTCTTGCAGCAGGATAAAATTTCCCTTTGAATTTCACAGGATAATAACAACACTGAGTCAGAATCCACTCTTGCTCTCACTTAGACCACAAATATCTCTAGGGAAGAACCTCACACTATACGGGGTGACATCTCTAAAGGAGGTTCTACTCAGTTACCAATGACAGCTCTTCTCTAGGGCCGAGGCAAACCACTCCTGGCCAAACAGCACAACTCCTTCCCTATTATCTCTTTGATTAAAAATATTATCCCAGTAGACAGTAAGCTCCATGAGGGCAGAGCCACTTCTCTTACTAACCACTATATCTTCAGTCCTACTTACAGCGATTGTCACATGCTCCTTACTAAGTGCCAGCACTGTTGCAAGTTCTTTATATGTTCTTTATATGTTTCAATTCATTTAATCATCACAGCAGCCCAGTGGGGCTATCACTGTCCCCATTTTACAGAGGCAAAAACTGACATGCAAAAAGCTGTTCTTTTTCTTCTGCCAGGTCACACAAACAGTAGATGATGGGAAATTTTAAACCCTAGGGGTCTGGGGACCAAGTCCATGCTCTTAAACTCTAACTAACAGTACAGTGCTTGGGATGCAGTCATCATTCCAAAAGGCACTGGTTGCCTTACCATTGACTAAGGGCAAGACCCTACTCAAATATCTGGTGTAACGTCAGAAAGCTCTTCCTGGGATAGAACAGCTTTACTTTCCCCCAGGGAGCCCTCACTCAGCCACAGCTGACAGTGCCTGCATTATCGTTGTTATTGTTTCATAATAATAATACCTCCTTTGCATGTGTAAAGTGCCATCTTCTCAAATTCTCCCCCTCTCCCCATGCTGAGATGTATTGGTGACAGCCACGTGAGGCCCTTGAACAGCTACTGTTGTTCTCACTTCAGAAAGGTCACACTTCCAGAATAACTGCGTCTTCCCTCACCCTAAACTAGAGAGTCTGTTCTGTTACCAATGAGAGCAGGAGAGCCCAAGTGTATGCCCTTCCCAGCATGCCCCATACCCCCCCCCCAAAGCCAGGCCAGGCCCCTCCTCACCCGTGCTGCTCCAGAAGTCTGGACCTCACCGCAGCCTTCTGCTCCGAGCTGAGGTCTGGACAGTCTCTGAGGCTGTGCAGGGCTGTGGCCCAGGCCCTGGAGGACACTCCGTGGATGATGTCCGCTGGCAAGTGGCAGAGCAGGTTCCCCAAGATGTCCACGTCAAACTCATCAGCAATGGAATTATTCTGAAACCAACAAACAGAGCTGGTGGCAGGATGCAGCCAGTTCAAGATCTGGATCCCTTAAAAACACCAATGGCAGGGCCTCCCTGGTGGCGCAGCTGTTGAGCGCTGGGTTGCGAAGCTGCCCACAGCCTCTGCAGTGCCAGTTCGATCCCCGATCCCCGGTCAATGGGCAAGGGTCCCAGAGGGCACGCAGAACTCTCCTGCTGCCCTCTGCTCCCCTCAGCAGTGTACTTCGTCAGTCTGCCTGTTCTGTTCCCCGCTCTGGCTCTGGTGAATTCTATCACCCTCCTGTGCTTCTGACTGTACCCAGTGCTTGTATGAATAAATAAATAAATATTAAAAAAAAAAAAACACCAATGGCAAAGGCCCCCATCTGAATTGCTTCCCCTGCCATGTGGCTAGTAGAGAAGGCTGATTTTACCCCAGGGGAAGCAGGTCTCAGGAATCAGGGAGCGGGTGTGGAGCACTGAGTAGATGAGGCTTTCTGTCCTGAAGACACCCAGATCAACTATTAAAATAGTAGCACAAAAATGATAAAATGATAAGAACCACACCACTGAGTTCGTGTGGCCCTCGTAAGCCTTTAATGCTCTTTCTCAAAATGACACAAATAGCCACTGTTTACCGAGTGCTTACTATCCACCGGGTGCTTCTGTTAGTTTTTACAGTCTTCTCCATTCGGCTTCAGAGTAACTCTAAGAGGAAAGTCCTAACAGTCACTTTTGAAAGATAAAGAAACTGCCAGCAAGGGCCAAAGCGAGGACTAGGGACAGAGTCTGGCCTGTGAACCTTTGCACTGAGCAAGCCTCGCCTGCTCCAGCACTTGAGAACTCTCCTAGGAGGCATTACTGCTCCTGTTTTATGGATGAGGACACGGAGGCTCAAGCAGAAGTGACATGCCCATAGCCGCATATCCAACAACTGGCAGGGGCATTTCTAGAACCCAGTCTCTGTGTACTGTGCTCTTCCCGGCCCCCAGAGCACCCACTCTTCTTTCAGGCCCTGGGTGGGCAATCTCCAGAACCAGTGGCCATGACTGTCCCACCCTGTGGCTCTAGAACCAGCTGTGAGACCCACTGTCCAACTTCTGGCCATCTCGGCAGGCTCAAGATCCCTTGAGTATCCCAGAGATGGCCACAGACATCCAGAGGGGAAGGAACACTGGAAGTTTCCTTACCAGGCACTGCTGCACTTTCCTGAGGACCGAATTCTTCTTGTGGGGATCTAAGACTAAGGAGTCCAACTGCCTCTTGCCCAGGCTGATCAGAAAGGGCACACACTGCGAGTCTGGGACAGAAGCCAGGTAGCGGGCCCTGGAGAGAGATGGAGACGCAAGAAAGGAAATACCGGTTGCTCTGTATTTGCACCCAAATCAAGTCCACGTGCTCGAGAGCTTATCTCAGGGTGTTCTGTAAATGTGTGTTCTTCCCTGTGACGTTCTGGCTCTTTGGGGCAGGTTGCAAGCCTCCCATCCATCATGGTCCTCTTCTATGCCCAGTATCACTCATCAGAGAATGGAATCTCCATAACCAGATGTTGACTGGTAGACTGGTGAAGGGAAGATGAGGAGAAAGGAAAGAAAAGGTAGAAGAATAAAGAAACATAGAGGAGAGAGAATAAAATAGAAAGTGAGGAAGAAAGAGAAGGGCTCCCAATTCTATAATCACCAGTCCAGAACTCCCACTTCTAGGGTTCTTGACCACATAGTCTCAACAGGGGCAATATCGCCCCCAGGGGGAAGAAATTGGTATAGAGGGAGGAAAGGAGAGAAAAAAATCTTAGTTACAATAACTCAGACCCCTGAAATTCAACCCTACTCAACAAAATCTTTTTTTTTTAAGATTTATTTATTTATACAAGAACTGGGGTACAGGTCAGAGACGCGGGAGGGTGAGAGGATTCACCAGGGAGAGCGGGGAGCAAAACAGGCAGACGGACGGAAGACACTGCTGAGCGGAGCTGCGGGCGAGACAGGAGAGGTCTGCCACGCCATGTGGGTTTCTTCCTGGCCAGCTGGGAATCGAACCCGTGTTGCAGAGGCTGCGGACAGCTTCACAGCGCTGTGCTCAACCCGCTGCACCACCGGGGAGGCCCGCAACAAAATCTTAATCCTTGTAAGCACTCCCATTAGGAAGAAATGTTTCCTCCTTAGGGAGACAGTAATGAAGTGAAGGTAGAAAAAGGCTTCTGTATGCCCACATGACTTACTCCTCATTGACTGTTCCAAACTGAAACCCAAACTCAAAGATTCCTTTTTCCCTTGATCCCTAAATCCGTTCTTGCCTCTCCTTCCCTAGTACCACCTGTTTATTTCTTCATTCATTCATTCATTCAACAAACTTCTACAGAGCATCTATTATATGCCAGATACCATTCTGGGCACCAGCTACAACCATGAGGGGCAGATCCCTGCTCTCAGGATGTGTCCCTCCAAATGGGGGAAGAAACACAGCAGACAGTGAATTAAACACCTCATTTCTGAGAATGGCTCTTGGCTGGAGAATGGCTCTTTGAAGGGGACTGATATTAAAACAGTACTAAGACATGGATGAGTGGAATAAACAGCCATGCCAAGGTCCAGGTTAAAAATAAGCTCCTGGCTCTCTCCTTCCAGCCAGGCCCCTGCTGCACTGTCCTACGTGGGCAATGGTGACAATATTCCCAAAACAGATCAGAGAACTGAGCATAGATCACTAGTGAAAGATATCGGGGGTCACACAAACCCCCCCCACCCCGATTTGACCATGCCTCTTCTTTCTGTCCTGCCCGCTCCCAACTACTCCACAAATGCACAACAAACTTCCCCTGGTGCTTCACTGTGCCCACTCTGCCAGGCTCCACAGCCCCATGCCCCTGCCTGGAATGTCTATCTTGAACTCTTTAACTCATTCTTTGAGTTTTAGTTCAGTCTCCTCTGACACACCAGCCAGAAAGGGACATTTCTGTGCCCATTATACTTTCCCATGGTAACAGTACCTGACTTTCTTGGAGAATCACCCCCTTTACTTTAAGCCCTAGTGGCCTGGTGTGGAGCCCACTTCACTCCTGGCTTTAAGGGTGCAATAATGAACTAAACCAGCCAAAGATAGTCATTTTCCCAATCTCAGTAATTGGTGAAGGAGAACTAATCGACCCAATTTAGGCCAACAAAGTCAAACCCAGAACCTTCATGGGAAAGGATAGGAAAAGAAAATCTTTTTCCTTTTCCTGGATATGAAGCTAGAAGGTGTAACCTTTGATATGCCTGGAGCCATCAAAGAAAAATGTCTTGCCTGACAGAGAGGCTTATAGCAGAAACCTGGGCCAAGAAACAGACAGATAGATGATATCATTTGAGCCCCTGGATCCAGCCATGCCTGAAGCCCATCCCTAGATTTTTCAGTTACCTCAACCCAAATTGCCTTGCATCGACTAAAGCAGTTAGAATTAAGTTTCTGTCACTTTCAACCATATATCAACTTAATGCTAAATTGACTTCACACCTGTCTAGTCCCCTCCCTCTGAGACTGTAAGCTTTTAGAAGGGGAAAATAAAATTATCTCTGAAAACTAGTGTATAGTAAGCACTTGAATACTTTTTGAATGAATAAAGGCAGAAACAGCAAGAGAAAGGAGAGGGGAAAGAAAGAAAAGAAAATGGAAAGAAACAGTCTGGATCATGTTGGAAAAGCAGGGAGTCACCCAGGCCCAAGTGTCCACACATTCCACAAGAAATTGCAATGGCTCACATCAGCCCTGATGCCACTGGAATCTGGGCACAGCTGTGAGGCAGCCCAGAGAGGGCCTGCTTCATTAGCATTCATTCAGCCTTTGGTTTTAAAACAGAAGGAAACTCAGAAGAGTTTGTCTGAAGTACCTACGTGGGGCTCTGAATTTAAATCCTGGCTCTCGGGTGGGAAATGTATGGGGACTATAACCAAGATGAAAATGCATACATTGTGCAAAAATGAAAAATGATGTAAAAAATATATAAAATAAAATAATAATAAATCCTGGCTCTCACGGGCTTACTTGTCAAAGGCACTCTCCATTCTGTGTCTGGTTCAAGACCCTGTGCATGAGGGTCCACGCTGGCTCACCAATCTTACTGCTGAGCCAGAAAGAGGGGCCCTTGTTCACTTACGGGAGTGCGGCCAAGAGGAAGGGCGGCGTAGAGGACCTGGCAACTTCCCAGTATTTCCACGCCAAACAATTAACCTGGAAGATTAAAGCAGTTCTAGGAATTTAGTCCAATCGCAGTAAGAGCAAAGACAGATGTGCTTTCTTAGTGTCAAGCACGGCCCTACGTGCTTGATGTACATTTACTTATTTCATAAGCACCCAAAGGTGCAGGTACCTTTACTGCACCCAGTTTATGGATAAGAAAATTGAGGCAATAGCAAGATGAAGACAAAAATTTAGGTACAGGAAATTTAGGTGCATGAACATGAGATGTTAACTTAATTAAACAGGTTGGCCATTAAATGGGTATGGTTAGTTCATTCTAACTCATTCTTTCTCATTGCTTACACAAGTAAACCAAAATCTGAGCCTGTAAAATGCCTCAAGTTTATTAAATCAAAACGTTCAAGACAACCAATCACTACCAACTGAGCTTTAGGCTACAGCCAATCATACAATCTCCTTTCTTTGCTCCCGCACTTTCTCTGAGGAAGCACTCCCGACCACTTCCAGCTTGGTGCTGCCCGACTTCAAAAGACTTTTGCTCAAATAAATGCCTAACATGTTTAATATGCCTCAGTTTATCTCCTAACAGAGATATAACCTTAATGAACCCCAGTTTAGTATTGGTTAAGTAAATGTGGTCTATACATAAATGGAATACTATACAACAATTTTGTTTCAATAAGGTAGATTTATATATATTAACATGAACTTATGTTCACACCCTCTTATATATGTGTGTTACATAAAGTTAAACAAAACAATCTGTTTATTAAGAGCTCATTTGTCTCTTTTAAATTACAGATATCATACACATATTATTTTTAAAACTCTGAGTGTCAACAGCAAAAGTTTCCATGTAGTCACCTCTGGACCAGAGATTCTCAGCCCCAGCACTGTTGATGTTTGGGCCAGATAACTCTGCTGTGGGCCTGTCCTGCATGAGGGATACCAAAGCAGCCCCCCTGACCTCTACCCTCGATGTCAGTGGCATCTCCCCCAGCATGACCACAAAAAATGTGATAGATATAGCCAAGGGGTCTTCATGGAGAACCACTACTCTGGGATATGTGAAAAGTCAGCTATTGCCTCTGGTCTCCCCAAAGGGTTATAGGTCACCTAACTGTTTAGAAAACAAAGGCTTAAATGCAAAAAAAGAAAAAGGAAAGGAAAAGAAAAGAAAATGCTCTTAGAATATGGCTCCCTCCTGGCTACCCTGGAAAGGACCCAAAGGTAAGATGAGAGGATGATCTTCAGTCCCAGGAGAGCAGAATTATGACCGTGGAAAATGATATAGATAACTTACAACTGTATTTTAAGGTTCAAATCAGAGTATGGAATAAGCAATCTGTTGAACCTCTACCTGTAGAAACTTAGCTTTCTACAAAGGAACTTGAGAAGTCTTGACTCGATATTTGGCCCCGCATCATCACTTGCATCTGAACAATCCTGACATAAAGATCCTCCTACGGCAGTCCAGCCAGGCCGCTGGGGAAAGGAAAGAGGATGAGAAGCAGGAAAACACTGTCAGGTACCTGATATGGTGAAAGCAGCAAGAGGTTGTTCTCGAAATAGTGGAAATGGGCCAGAAAGGAGTCTGCACTCATGGAATCAATGTGGGAACACGTCACGCCTTTGACCAGCTGCCCGGTGCTGAAAAGCAAGACATGGGACCCGGGAGAAGAAGGCGGTCAGGAAGAGAAAGGACAGACGTGCAAGAGAAGGCAGACTGATCTGGCTCAGGCTGCAGGTGGGACTGTCCCACTCTCCCTCATGGGATGTTAGCTCCTGGCTGGAAAGGCCCCAAGGGGAGACGCATCAGCCCCTGGGGCCCAGGTGCCCTCTCCTACCTCAGGAGCTCCTCGGGCCTTCTCGTTGTCTTTGACAGCAACTCATACAGGAACAGGGCCTGAGGAAAGAGAGTCCCTGCTTACATGACGAGCACAGGGCTGTGCCCATCACCGTGAGGCTCTACCACAAAGGGACCATGGGGTCACATTTTACAGATGGGAAAATGGAGGCTGAGCAGGCTGTGTGACTTACCCAGGGCTCACAGTTGCTAAGTGGCAGAGCAAGGATTTGAACTGGTGTCTGAACAATGCCAGGCCCCTCACACTCGCACCACGCACTCACACAGGTGATTCTCTCTGCTCTCTATGAGGTGACTGAGGAGCGAAACCCCTGGGTGTCAGGGCTGGAGGTGAGCAAGTTTGCTTCCTGGGCTTCATGAAGCTGCTGACCAGTTCCAAACCCTCCCAAGCCCTATTTCCAAGCCCATCTGCTAGTTCTTAAACACAGACTCCCCTGGATAAATAGAGTAGACCAGGGTGAGCTGGAAAGTAGCAACAATAAAGCACCTCCTGCTGGCACGCACTCCCCTCAAAGCCTCCCAGATGGGCCCTCTAGAGCAGTGCCTAGCAGGCAGGGGTGTCGTTTGTTTTAAGGAACGTAATTTTACCAAATACCTAACTTGCAGACACAATCAAGTACGACATTTGTCTATTTTATAGACCCTGAAACTTTGAACATATTCCCCAAACAGAATAAATTATGAGCTGGCATTAGGCAGAGACACCTGAGACCTGCAGCAAGGCCCAGAAAAAAGGAGCAGCAGGGGGGTAAATTCCAGACACTCTGTGTATGACCCCAGATTCCTCATGTACGGGGTCAAGGTCAGGGCCCACACTCCACCAACCCACCTCCCAGTCTCCCCTGACTCAGGAAATGGCCTTTCCCTTGGGAACAAAGGGTCAGGGACAAAAGAAAACTTGCAGGCAAGCCACAGATCTGAGGCATCCAGCAGGTGAAGGGGAAGCAGAGGGGTCAAAACAGGGGAGGGAATTGCACAGGGGACTATGCTGTGGTGGAGGGAAAACTCTGGGGACTCTACCAGAGGGTGGGCAGGGCAGGGGGGAATCAAATATTGTACGAAAATGAATAACAGTGTAAGGAAATTTTAAAAAAATAAACTTGTACTCAATTAAAAATAAATACACTTCCAAATTATATTCTTGATTCTCATGTGACAACTTATTATTTTAATACCCTGACATTAAAAGGGAAAGAAAGTACTTGCACTGTAATAGCTTCCTTTCATTTCTGTAAAATCAAATACACCATTAAAGGCTTGTGTGGCTAAAAGACAGAGACCCCAAAAAGAGCTGACTGAATGAAAAAGAAGTCAGGAAAAGTCCTACGGCAGCGGCAGCGCACCCTCCTGCCTCCACAGCACCGCCCTCCCCCGCGGGCCACAGTAAATCCTGCACACAATGACAGTTAATGTGCACGGGCACTGTAGTGTCTGACATCACTGCTCCCCAGGAGAAATTATCTTCACTTTGTACCTGGGAACACTGAGGCCTGGTGAGAAGTCGCACCCCCAAAACCGACAATGATAGCTCCTGAATCCACGCTCAGGTCTTGCCCAACTTGCTCACCCTACCTCTCTGAGTTCAATCACACGGAAATAAATCTCTTTTACCACGTTAACCTTCACAGAACTTCCCCAGGAGACAGACCAAGATCCAGGTGTGTTCTGTGGGGTCATGGTCATACCTGACTCCACCGAAGCTCTTTTTCCTTCAGGACTGTGAGGTTGAATCCAGGTTCCCACCATAAATCAAAAAGAGACACTTCTTTAAAGAAAGCCCCTTGGATTTCCACGATGCCAGAGGTGGTATCTTCTGCTTCAATCATCTGCCAAAGTGAGGAGAAGCAGCTAATAACCTTGGAGACGGGGTGTTGAGCTCTGGGTGAGGGCAGTCACTGCGTCAGGTGCCTCGGGGGCCATAGAACCATCGCGTCTGCTCGGAAACTGGACAAGGTGAGCACCGTCCTGCACCCCATTTTATAGGTGAGGAAGCTGAGGCTTGACAACTCATGGGTTAAAAGTCACGAGATTCAAGTCAAGTCTGTCTGATTCTCAAACCCACGCTTCTTATTTTACCTGCAGGTGTTGCTGTTCTCTGCAAGGTGCTGTGTGTGTTTTAGGTCAAACACCTTTAGGTTTGGTTTCTTTACAGATTTGTCATTAAACCTCACAAGTGAGACACAATAGGCCGCCCCACCCCGGGTAAGAACAGGAGCTTTCCAGAGCACACTGAGAATGTCAGGCTTCACTTTGAGATTTGAAAAACTGACTTTTAAAACATTATTATATTAGGAAACCTACCCCTACGAAAAGTCCTCCAGAGTCATCTGCCTAGGGAGTGGCCCGGGGTCTGGGAAGAACCCCAGGGGCTGGTTCTGAGGAGGGAGGGTGGGCTCAGGAGAAAGGCCTCCCCCGGGTTCAGAAGGCCCCCACACAGCCGCCTGGGCAAGGTCTGGAGCCATGGCCCACCCACAGAAGCCCAAAACCACACCCCTGGGAGCCAGGTGCCCGAGGACCACGTCTTCCGCTCACCTTTCTCAGGACCCCCTGCTGCTGGGCAGGTGACAGATCCGGCATGTGCAGCACGACGGCGCTTCTCAGGATGTGTGCGAGGTCGCCACGCTCCATGGCGTACAAGGCAGGGGTGCCCACCCCCGCCAGCAGCACGCCCACCTGGCTGAGGTTGTGGAAGGACGGCACCTGCGGAGACCGCAGCGGGCTCTGCTCTGGAAGCTTCGGAGGCCCCACGGCATGCCAGGTAGTGGGATGGGCACCAGGAGGGATGGGGGCAGAACACAGCTCCCGCCCAGGCCCTCCCTCCTTCTACCAGGAATGGCTCCACAATCAGCCAGAGCTCACACACCACATTGTGCAAGTCCAGCCCCTTCTGGGTGCCGACCCTCATAATTCTTGCAGCCATTCTGTCAAAGATGCGCTACCATAATCCCCATTTTACAGACTGAAAACTGAGTAAAAGAGAAGTTAAGCTGATAGTCCAGTATCCCGAAGGATCAGGATCCCGAAGCTAGTAACCAGGCAGGGCTGGATTCGAACCCCCTGGTCCTCTGTGGCACTATCTGCTTACTGGTTGGCTGGCCCTGCTGTGTGCACAAAGCTCCAACTCACCTTCTCATGGGCAAAGTATTTGGCAGACAAGATGTTGATCTGGCTCTTGGCCCAGCCAGAGACCTGGTTGAGGGTGGAGATGGCAGCGTGCACAGCCTCGGGGGAGAGTGATTCCAGCTGAGGGAGGCTCAGGCCCACGACCGCATCGGACAATGAGCCCAGAGTCTCGTTGAGGGTCTGGTTCTCCGTGGCAATGTCCAGGAGGTCGGCCTTGAGCTGGGGAGAGCAAGCTGGAATGAGGGTAGAGGGCAAGCAGGTGGGCGGGTCCTGCTGACTACACCCTGGGGAGTAAGGACGGGAGGACAGGACTCCCACCACACCCAGAAAATAAGAGGGCCCCTGAGAACACCACCCTGGCCTTGGCGTTAACATGCCTCCAACTCACATTGTGCATCAATTAATTATCATTTGCTATTGTGTGACCCTGAACTCTATATCCAAACAGGTGGCTGTTTTTCTTTCATAAAATATCCAAGACCACTGGGGCAGCTGGACTGCAATCGAGACTCCCCAACTATGCCAAGTCTCCCCCTGGGGCATCAATTATGATAACACATAATCTGCATAAAAATAATTCTCAACAGTTACAGCTAAGAGTAAGAAAAAACAAAGTCTCCTGAAAATCAGCTCATAAAAATGACTATAATTAGCCATCAGGTGTATACGCATCCGGGGCTTCTTGTGCCTTTATAAGTAAGCACTTCATAAGTAAACTATAGTATGTAGTTACTATGTAGTTTAATATAAACAGAAGGTCAATTTTCTGCTCCGTATTTTTCAATTAAAATTACATTTTCACATTGCTGGGCTCACCTCCATTATTTCACTCTAGTATGCCTGTCTAGTATAGTCAAGGGTTTCCCAGCTGCTTCAGCGGAGGTGATAAACTCATCCACTGCAGCATGGCTTCGGTGCAAAACAACGAGAACGGTTCCAGGTTCCTGCGTGGGCCTGAGTTCCTGGCCAGTGTATTCACTTCCCAGCACGTGTGCCAAGCCACGGGGAGTGCCCACCAGGGGGCAGCAGAGTGATGTTTTAAAAAAGAAGGCGGTGGCCGGTTCCGCATGCAGCCGCACCCCCTCCCTAGGAGCGGGGTCCCACATCTCAGGAGGGAAGGGAAGGTCTGGAGAAGGCGTTCTCAAGTGAGGTCCTTGACCAGCACCGTTAGCATCACCTGAGAACTTGCTAGAAATGCAGATTCTCAGACTCCATCCCAGAGCTGCTGAATCCGAGACTGACCTGTCTTTTAAGCAGGCCTCGGAGACGTCCAGGCGCCCTCAGAACCAGGGTGCTAAAATTCCAAGGGCTTCTCAGAACTAACAGGTTCTGACTGTCCTGCATAATGCTGCCACAGCCACCCCTGTGGCCTTAAAATACATTGATTTTCTTCTATTTTGCCTGAGCTTGCGGGGGAGAGATTCTTTTCCTGGACAACAAAAACATTCACAGACCGAGGAAACTACTGCGTCAGAGGGGACTGGCGATTTGATGCTCAGGTGTGAGAGACGGCTGTGGAATTACTGGTGGCAGCAAAATTTTCATTACTCTCATGGCATCCTTTCAAAACAAAAAATGAGAAGGACCAAAAGAAGTGAGAGAATTGGGGCAGAACAGAGACTTTAAGGGAAGCAAGGAGGGTGGCGTGGAGGGGAGAGAGCCAGCTCTGTGCGTGCCCCTGCGTCTGAAACCCTGGCCTAGGACCTCAGTCAATGCACCTAGTCCATGTGCTCAACCCTGTTGACCTGGGATTATCCGAGGAGCTTTTAAAACACATCATACCCAGGTCACCCCTACCCCCAGCCCTCACCCCCATCCCCAGAGCAGTAACACAAGAATCTCTGAGCACGGGGGCTGGAGGGTCACTAACGCAGAGCTGGGTTTGGGTTTGAGAACCGCTGCTTTATCTCCTTGTGATTCCAGGCATGGTTGCCAGACCAGCTGCTTCAGCCTCTCCTGGAAGCTGCTAGAAATGCACCCTCCGTCCCCACGCTGACCGACTGAATCAGAATTAGTATTTAAGATCCCCAGACACTATTTAATGCACATTTAAGTCTGAGGCGGCTGCGCTGATAGAATTTTGATCTGTCCCAGGCTTTTCTGACACTGTGTTTTAGTCATTTCTTCCCATTTCCAAGCTCCTCCTAGCACAGGAGTTGCCACCTGCTGAGATTGGACTCCCCTCCCCCCTCAGAGCGCATGAGTAACCCTGATTAACAATAAGTTTTCTCTCAAAGGCCAGGCGAGGCTGTTCTTCCCACTTCTGTGACGAGTGAAACTGAGGCACAGCCCAGGCCCTGGTTCCCCCAGCACCTTCTGAACACCAGCCTGGAAGCCCCGCAGGCGGCTGCACTTGATCATCTGGTGCAGGAGGACTTGGGCCACCGCGGCGTCCAGCAGCTCCAAGTCATCGTAGAAACAAACCAGGAGCCCCAGCCTGTGTGGGGACATAAGAGGGGTTGGCAGAGGGTGAAGAGCTGGATGGAAGCCTCAACCACACCCCAGTCAGGAGCTAGAGGGTCAAGATCACAGCCAGGTACTGAGCTAAGCCTTTACCTGAATCACCTCATCACAACCCCCTACAGGGCAGGTGGGCTTACTACACCCACGTCACAGAAGGGCTGAGACTCAGCAATCGACTGACTTGCCCAACACCAGTGGTGAGCTAGGACTTCAATCTAGAACCATCCGGCTATGCTGTCTCTCCTCCGGGGGCAGTAAGGGGCATGAGGAAGAATGGTGCTGAGCCAGCCACAGAAATCCCTCCATTTTCCACATGGAGGTGAGGGGTTGCCCACCCTGAGGGAGTCTCTCAGCAGAGCTTTATTTCTAAGACCCTTGACAACCTACACCCCCACTTCAAAAGAAAAAAAAAAGATAAGAGAACAATTAGGGGCAGAGGCAGGATTTGAACCCTGGTCTAGTAAGGAGCACTATACCTGTTGGCTAAAAGCAGTTTCAGGCCAACTGGAGTTTGAAGCCCAGCTCTGTGAGGTGTTTGACCTGCAGTAAGATAATTCTCTGCAAGGTTGCAGGGTGCAATTGTGCAGTGCACACTCTGTACTGCTGTACAGGGCGGCCCTGCCTCTCTGAGCCTTTAATAAAAAAGAGGCTTGCTTCGTTCATCATAGCACCTAATAATAAATATGATGAAGGCATGAGGAGCACTGTGAGAAGAGGCACACCAGCTGATTAGCCTGCTTCCTGGTCGAGCACTCGTGCAGTAACGGATGCCCCAAGACTTAACAGGAGCCCTACCTGACTCAGTGTGGCTATTTGACCCGCTCAGCCAGGCTCCATCTCTCAGAAGGGCACTGACACTCTCAGATATGTCCTCAGGAGACGTCAGGGACAGACTTTGAAAATAACCATTCCTTTGGGCCACTCAGGGAGTGAAGACTGAATAGTAATAACCATATTGAGAATAACTAATATTTCTTACTATGTGTTAGGTGTGCTTAATCCTCACTAGGACCTTAACAAGGCAGGTAGATGATTCCCTCCCATGCTATAGGTGGCGAAATGAAAGCCCAGAGAGGCATGGTGGCATAGCAAAGATCACACAGCTTCTAAGGGCAGAGCCAGGGTTGAACCCAGGAAATCTAGCTGCAGGTTCCTTGTCCTTAACCATGGGCCCTTTTTGTGTGTAATCATAGAAAAATAGGACCTGTCCAGTGGGTGGAAATGGCTGCGATGGGGAAGAAGATGTGATCATTTCACATGAGAATGTTCTCGAAAACATTTGAAAAACTGTAAGGAAATATGGGGATGTCAGGGAAGTTCTGTGACAGTACGACAGTGATGTCAGGGGGAGCAGGTGGCTGAGCAGGATCACCACCCCTGTCCATTGCACACTCACTCCCCAGACACTAACCCTGGCCAAGTCAGGGTGGGGGGCACAGCTTCTGACCCTCCCCCGCTGGAACCAACTCCAGGCATCAAGTTACACTCACTAAACTCAAGCTGATCTCATTCAGGGGCTCCTCCCCTGAGAGTCTAAACAACAAACGTTTCACACAGATGGGGACCCACAAACTGTTTCAACACTTGCATCCACCTAACGGGAAGTTCATGTTTACCCTGGAATGCAAGTGGTACTGAGCATGGAAAATGTCCATTTCCATGCTCGGACCCGGAATCTTAGCACTTGATAAGGTTGCAAAAATTCCTGGCACTCAGGAGATGCTGAGAAAGCATTTGCTCCCTTCCTTCTTGAGCTTCCAAAGGGGTTTTCTTTAGGGGAACACTTACCCTCACATGCACAAAGACAAGGGGCTCTTCAGAGATGGACCAGGCCCTCCCTACCCTCCCCCATCTCTTGCTACTCAGAAGCTGGGGCTTGGATGGCATCTGGGAAACAGCCCCAAGGGCCCAGCGCCCTCGCCCCTTGCCTGTGGATGGTGGAGGTGTTTCTCATGTCAAAGCTGGAGGAGCCAATCCTCTCCAGAAACGCCTGGGCCAGTGCAGGAGTAATGTCATAGACCGTGTCCAGCTGCTTGGTGGCGTTGTCATAGCTGATAAACAACCCCATCTGATGGCAAGGACAGGAAGGTCAGTGAGGAGGGCCCAGCGGCCCTAGGGTCTGTGCTGTGCCCCTCCCCGGAGGCATCGAGACACCCAATCTCTTCCTCAGTGATTTAATAGACTCCTCTTCCGCCCAACTGTCATCTACAAAAGTATCCTTTTTTTAAGCATCCAAACTGAATATTTTTAAAGCTAATGTTTGCACATTTATTTCTGGACTTATTATATTGAGGTTAGATTTATCATATATATGTGGTCCACAAAGTTTCTACTTTGGGAAATCAGAGTTTTGTTAACAGAGGAGTGAGTTTAAAAATTGATCCTTGGGGGCCTCCCTGGTTGAGCGCTGGGTTGCGAAGCTGCCTGCAGCCTCAGCAGCACCGGTTCGATCCCCGGCTGCTCCCTGGCCACCAGAGGAGGGTCCCATATGGTGTGCAGACCTCCCCTGCCGCCCGCTGCTCCCCTCAGCAGTGTACTTCGGTCCTTCTGCCTGCTCTGCTCCCCGCTCTGGCTCTAGTGAATTCTCTCACCCTCCCGCGCTTCTGACTGTACCCAGTGCTTGTATAAATAAATAAATAAATCTTTAAAAAAAAATTGATCCTTGGATGATGAAAAGGGTGTATTTTCTTTGTAATATACAATATCCACATATAGATGTATATACCTATATCTGTGTATCTAGTGTTGTTAAATATCCCATTTAGATTCTGTTCTTGCTCAATTTTGCCTGTACGTCAAAGGTCTCGTACTGAAGTCTCCTGTATTTCGATGCACTCTTACTGTGTGCTCATAAACTTGTCTCTCCCATGTGGATTTTACTCCTTGTCTATAAGGAAATTCCCTCAGAGTGTGGTTGCAAATGGCCTCAAAGGACCCGGCTTCTTAAGAATTTAACCTCTGTCTACGTCCTGAAATTCACTCAACACTGGGAGCACAAAACCAAGACTTAACTAAGGACCATCATTGGGACAATTTGCGTCAATCTCTGGAAAGACGTCTGAGATACCCCCAGCCTCCAGGTAAAGTGAGGCCCCTTGTTCTGCTGTTGGTTTCACAATCACCAGAAATTGTCACATCACTTGGTCCTTGAACGAGCCAGTCCCTCATGACCAGGACCCAAGCCCCAAGCTTTTTATAGATGCCTCCCTGTTGGCAGCATTCTTTGGGACCATATTCCAGAATGATAATACCCAACGGATTCTAGTCTCAGAGGGTCAACATCAGAAGAGACTTGCTGACCAATGAATTAGGTAACTTTAGAATGTGGATATTTTTCCCCTGCAAACTCAAATGAGAAGCTCATCATTGAGTGGCTATCGAGATGGAGCTATTAATCCATGTTGCTTTTGATTTTGGTCCCTGCTTCTAAGGACCAGGTGCTCGAAAGCTATTGTCCTTGACCGTTCTGGAGCACCGAATGGCCTTCGATGATTTTTGGCTCGGAGCCAACGTTCGTCTTGTGTCATGTTTGTCCACAGTGGGCTCTCTCGTGGTCACCATTGTTTATAACTAGCACGCAACGTGATGACTGACCACTGGAGGCCTTATTCCAAGGGCTTTCTTCAGGGACTCAAGAGGTGTGGGCCAAGGTGATGCCCAATTCCCAGGGCAACCTGACCAGCTGACTGAACATCAGGAGTTTAGAAGACACCTTCTCCCAGAGGTATAAGTAATGGGGACACATAAATGAACTTTTCCAACTTACTTCTCTCGGACTGATTTTCAGAATCTCTTCAAATGATAGATGAACCATATATCTGCCCAAAATCCATAAGCTTTCTGCACTCACCCATGAAACAGAGTCATCTGCCAAAAAAAACAAGTAAATAAATAAATGCAAGAAAGCCTTTGTGCTGGCTTGTGACAGTCGAAGCATCCTCAGTAACCAGATCTCCCTCCTGCACTCACTCATTTGTTCCATGACCATTTTTGAGAGCCTCCCACCTGTTGCCACTGTCCTCCATAAGGATGTCACGGGGGCCACCTGAGGCCTTGCGACTCAATAGTGTGGCCCCTGGACCAGCCTCATCAGCGTTACCTGGAAACTTGTTAGAAATGCAAATTACAGGCCTCCCTGGTAACCTAAGGGTTAAGTATCAGCACTATCACCCTAGGGCCTGAGTTCCATCCCTGGCCAGGAGCACGTGGCACAGCAGACCTCTCCTGTCTCACCCGCTGCTCCCCTCAGCAGTGTATTTCAGTAGATCTACCTGCTCTGCTCCCCACTCTGTCTCTGGTGAATCCTCTCGCCCCCTGCCACTCTGGCCTGTACCCCAATTCTTCTATGCAAAAATGTAAAAGAAAGATTATATTCTTTAATGCTTAGGATGATAAAATAGAGTTTAATTTTGCTTCACTTAGTTACTAAGTAATCTCGCGACTTGAAATGTGCCTGACTCTTATTACCAGCACCAGTCATGACCATCTTCACCAGCTCATGATGTCAACACACTGTGCCAAACCCAAGTGCTCATTCTTCTCCTGGCGACGCCACGTGTGCTCCAAATCCTTGCTACAGGGCCTTCGCTCTGAACAATCTGCTTCCAAACCCTCCCATCCAACTGAGCTCAGAAATTTCCTCTTCCTGAAAGCCTTGCCTTTTCTTGTCATTCCTTCCTCCTCTGAATCCCCAGAGGCCGGGCTCTGTCACTCTGTTCAAGCATTTGAAATTCCCCAGTGGTGGGATGTCAGTGGGGCTTGAAGAACTACCGCGCCCAAGATCCAACCTCAAGCTTCAGGGAGCTAGAACCAGGCGCCATGGCCGGAGCCCTCAGTAGAAGACTCTGCACACAGCCACGCTGCAGCTGGCAGCTTTGGCAGAGAGGGAAGGGAGGTTTTTGCATTGAAATGGTTGGGGGGGGGTTCAAAAGAAGAATTTGAATGTGAGAATTTCATGAGGTTGAAATTTCAGCGTCCATCAGGTTTTCCCGGGACACAGTCACGCCTACTCAGCATTTGTCTGTGGCTCTGAATTGAGTAGTTGAGACAGAGGCTGTAAGTCCACAAAGCCTAAAATATTTACTCTGATTTACTCTGGATCTTTACAGAAAATATCCGCCAAGCCCTGTTCCAGCCTGAAGTGTTAACCTTCCCACAGCATTTACTCACTTCATGTCTTCGTAGCAGTTACCAGCGCGTTTCTTCTCCCTTTCCTGCCCTCCTCCTGCTCTTTCACCCCCTTTTCCCCTTCACCCCACTTTCCCTCTCCTTCCCTCCTCTCTCTCTCTGCTGACGCAGAGACTTCTAAATTCCTTAAAAGACTTTCTCCTGATTCCTGACGTTATGGATATTAAATAGTCAACTAGTAAAAGTGATCTGAGAAATCTCTTGCATTACTGACCTACCCAGTGATTTCTTTTTCTGTATCCTCTCTCCTTTTTTTTTTTTCCAATTGTGCTAGAACCCACACCACATAGAATTTGCCGTTCCAGCCACTGTTAAGTGCACGGCCAGCTTGTCCTGCAACCGTCGCCACCACCCGCGTCCCAACTTCCTTCATCTTGTAAAACCGAAACTCTGTCCCGTCCTCCCTGTCCACCTGCCAACCCTGGGCAGCTGCCCTCTTACTTCCTGTGTATGTGGCTTTGACTCCTTTAGGATGCTGGAGGTTTAAATAAACATCTGTCGAGTAAATGAATCCTCATCTGTCTCTGCTCTGGTTGCCAGGAAGCTCAGCACTAAATTGTTGCATTTCCTTGCCTGGATGTCCACCCCCTCAAAATTATCTTGTCTCACTTTAATACAGATGTTTTAACACAGACTTTGAACTTGTGATCTGCTCTAAAATCCTCAAGCCTGGGCCTTCCCGGTGGCACAAGGGGTTAAGCACCGCACTATGAGGCAATCCGCGGCCTCTGCAGCCTGAGTTCCATCCCCGGCTGGCCAGGGAGAGACCCACATGGCGCAGCAGACCTCTCCTGTCTCGCCCGCTGCTCCCCTCAGCAGTGTATTTCAGTCAGTCTGCCTGTTCTGTTCCCCACTCTGTCTCTGGTGAATCCTCTCACCCCCCGCATCTCTGGCCTGTACCCCAGCTCTTGTATGCATAAATAAATAAATCTTTAAAATCTAATAAATAAATAAATAAAATCCTCAAGCCTAAGATGCCATCATTATTCACATCTCACTAGGAAAATGGTACACACTGTTGATGGAGAGAGGCAAGCCCCCCTCTTTTCAGAGAACTCCCACGTGATGCGTGCAGTGGGGGCGTGGGGCTTAAGTCCAGCAGCCACATCAGATCCTTTTTGGAATTTGTAGGGGGTGGGAGGGAAGGTTGAATAGAAATCCCATGAGACAAGGAACGCAAATCCCTGTTTTCCAAGATGAAGCACCTCTTTTGAGCATGGACTCCCCCTAAAATGGGACCCCACCTCAAAGCCCAGGCTTACCGGTGGCGTTGGAAGAGGCGCGCAGAACCCGCTTCATCCAGGAGTAGATGGCCCTCTGCGAGCGGGCTGAGGTCTGGTCGTAGACGTCTCTGAACACCGCCGACCTAATGGCAGACACGACACCATTAAGGAAGAAACGCCGGGGAGGCTGCCTGGACGCGTCGAACCGTTGAATGACACATCTCTCAGAACTCATCCTGTTATGAAGCACCAGACACCTGGGATAGCAAACTTACTCTTCGAAGAAATATTAAGTGACAGGAATGTGAGTCACCAAGAGAAAGAAACAGCGTGGAGAGATGGCAACAATTCCAAGGCTGCACCTGAATGGCTGAGACTTGGGAGCCGCTGTTTTCATCCAACCATCTCAAAACGCCACAGATCTCTCTTTTTTTTTTTTTTAACAATTTATTTATTTATGCATACAAGAGCTGGGGTGCAGGCCAGAGGTGTGGGGGTGGGTGAGAGGATTCACCAGAGACAGAGTAGGGAGCAGAACAGGTGGTTCTACTGCAATACACTGCTGAGGGGAGCAGCAACGAGACAGGAGAGGTCTGCTGCACAGTGTGGGTAGCTCCCTGGCTGGGAATTGAACTCAAGCCACAGTGGCTGGCCATAGTTTGATAGTGCTGAGACTTTAAGCCCTGTGCCACCAGAGAGGCTCAAAACTAGTAAAGAATTTTTTATTTTTTTAAGATTTATTTATTTATACAAGAACTGGAGTACAGGCCAGAGGTGTGGGGGGTGAGAGGATTCACCAGAGACAGAGTGGGGAGAAGAACAGGCGGATCTACTGAAATACACTGCTGAGGGGAGCAGTGGGGAGACAGGAGAGGTCTGCTGCGCCATGTGGGTAGCTTCCTGGCCAGGGATCAAACTCGTGCAGCAGAAGCTGCCGCTAGCTTGACAGCAATGTCTTTAATCCCTGCGCCACCAGGGAGGCCCAAAGCTCCACAGATGTTAAGCTTCTGCTCCAGATGTCACATGTGAACCTGCCCCACCCGCCTTCTCCCCTCTGCTGCGTGTATCCTCCTGGCTCCAGCACCAGCCTGGGGGCTGGGAGGGAGCACTCACAGGTTCTTGAAGGCGTCCTCACGTAGGTCCCGGGGGAGCCTCTCCGCAATGTCCGGCTGGAGGAAGCTGCCCGAGGAGCCCTGCAGCAGCCTGCCCAGGATCTCCACGCACCCCAGGGGACTCAGCACCTGGAAACACCTCTCCAGCGTGATGAGAAACAGGCTGCGGTTCACGCCTGGGGTCTGCAAGGCTTGTTTCCGAATCTCTGCCAGGTCAATAACGATGTCTCCCAGCTCCTGCCGGCACCAAGAAAGCAGGAGCGTCTGGGGGCTGCTTCTCCACTTGAAAGTTCCCCCATCAGGGAGGAAAGTGGGAAAAGGAGCAGGAAGAGGGAATGCAGGGACCTGGCCTGAGTCAGGCTCAATTCATTTCAACAAATGCCAGCTGGCCCAGGCACCCCTGCACCCAGGAGGCCTCAAACCCTCTCCAAGCACTCACCAAGCGGTCCTTCTTGTCTTCTAAAAGGCATTTCATGGCGGTGTGGAACTGCCGGTCATCTGTTTCCCTCAGGTCCTCCAGCAGTTTCTGCGGCTGGTACACCCGCTGCTGCAGGTGGTTTCCCATGGCTGCCTGCACGGGGGTGTCAGGAGGGTCGCCAGGGCAGGGTGTGCCCGTGTGCGGTCAGCAACACGGCCAGCAGCCCGACCAGGCCACCTGCTGCCCACAGAGACCTGCAGCTGGCAGTGGCCACAGGTTTGCCTAGGTAGGCTCCAAATTTTTCATCAAATGCCAACATTTGAAAACTGGGGGATTCCTCACAAAAATCCAAATTTCCAACTTTCTGCTTGGAAAACACAAAGATTTGGCCACGCAGGGTGAGCACCCCCTTCCTGGTGGACATCAGCAGACCGAGGCCAGCTGTTCGTGGTCATCATTTAACACTTACCTCTGACCCAGCCCACCAATGTCTTTAGGGTCTGCCTGGCCCCTGTCGGTGATTGGAGCTTCAAGTCTAAAAAGCTGTTCTCCTCCCAGAAAATTTTCTGCCCACAGTTGAGGACCACTCACACCTCTCCCATGCCCCCAGCTGCCCACACAACCAACATTCAGACTGCAGGTACAAACTCCCCGTGGCACCCCTCCAGGATGAGCGCCCAAGGCCAGCAGCCTCTCCTGGAAGAGATTTCCTCTGCTCTCTGGGGAATTCTCTTCTCGATCTCTCTTTAATAGGGACACTCTAGAAAGCAGCGCTGTGTGATGCTGTGGGCTCCACATCCAGCCAGCATGTGCAGAGCTCCCCCTGCCACTCACTGGCTGTGTGGCCGGCTATTGGCACAGCAGCCCCAAGCCAGGGCTGCTAAATGAAACGCTAGCTAAAGAGGATGCCAGTTAAGCTTGAATGTCAGGTAAACAACAACAAAAATTTTAGGATGAACATGTCCCAAATGTTGTACAGGACACATTTACACTAAAAAATGTATCTGTTGTCAATATGCAAACCAAATATAAACGGGCATCTGTATTTTATTTGCTAAATCAACAACGCTCCCCTGGGTCTCTGTTTTCTCAGCTGAAAAACAGAAACAATAGTCAGCCTTGTAGGATTGTTAAGTGAGTGCACAAATTGTTTTCAGAAGGCCCCAGCTCCCAGTAAGTGGTCAGTAAGCCCTGCACTATTCACTATTCTCTATCCTGAATGAGTTGACTAATTATTGGCTGTCTCTCTCTGTAGAATCCAAAGTCCACATGGGTAGTAACAAGATGCCATGTTCTCTAACTCCCCAGCGTCTAGAACTGTGCCTAGCAGAAACTAAATAAGTAGATGTTGTGTAAATAAATGAATATACACATAGGAAGAGAGAGAGTACAACTCCTAGTCATTCATTCATAGATAGAAAGATAGATAGACAGACAGACAGACAGACAGACAGATAGAGTTCATGAGAAATCTATTGCTAGAGAGAAAAGGGGTAGGCTTTCTCTTTGGGATGCCACAGACTGAGGAAAAGGAGAAGCCAAGAGGCCAGCAGCCAGCTTCAGCTAATGGGTATCCTGGTAAATGGTTTACAACCAGCTATTTCCATATGAATGGTTCATTTTCATAAAAAGTAAAAATTGAAACTGTTAAGAACTTCACTCATCAACGACATGAATTCTTTGCTGAATCAGATAATACTTCTTAAGTACTGTAAGAATATTCTCTCAAGGGCCTCCCCGGGTGGCGCCGGTGGTTGAGCGCCACGCTGTGAATCTGTCCGCAGCCTCTGCAGTGCCAGTTCGATACCAGCCAGCCGGTGAGAATCCCACATGGCATGGCAGACCTCTGCTGTCTCGCCCGCTGCTCCCCTCAGCAGTGTGTTTCAGTAGATCTACCTGTTCTGCTCCCCACTCTGTCTCTGGTGAATCCTCTCACCCTCCCACACATCTGGCCTGTACCCCGGTTCTTGTATAAATAAATATATCTTAAAAAAAAAAGAATATTTTCTCAATTTTCTGGGCTATTTGCAGTGTAATGGGAAAAATAGGACACACCTCCACCCCCGGTCATGTTAATGAGTGTCCAGTTGGCCGCAGACCCCACTATGCCCTATTGAGTCTTCAGGAAAATCTCCATTGCCATCTATTAACATGGTTGTTCAACCACATACAACAACAGAAAAATATGTCTTGGACCCAAGATGAGACACTGATAATTACACTCAAAGAGCTTCACTCCCATGGTCCCCATTAGCAACAGATTTCCCACAGCAGTAGCTGAGTAAAGCCTCTCAGAAAGGCAGAGTCTCATCGTACTCCTCTGTGGTAAGATGTGACCAAGGGCTGTGAGCCAACGGAGCGTGAGCAGAAGGAAGTGTGCAACTTGCAGGTCACATCCTGAAAAGAGAAGATGCTCCTGCTTCACTTCCTCTTCCCCACCGCCCCCCCTGTGGAGAATGGATGTACTGCTTCAACCACATCACCAGCAACTCCCTAGAGGATGGTAACGCACCAAGATAAAGGGAACTGGGCCCCTGGACACTGTTTTGAAAGCAAGTTGCTGCTCATCTCTGCATCTCCCCCCAAGCTCTGGACTATTACAAGAGATAAGAAGAAACTTAGTTACTTGAGCTGCTATGATTATGGGTCTCTGTTATAGACCATACATCACGTCTCCGTCAAAGATTAAAAAAAAAAGTGATAGAGCTAAAGGACTGTGTATAACATGGCAGGACAAACGGACAGAACATACTTCCTGTGGAAACGAAGACTAGTTGTCTGCCTCACCACTTCTCAGACTTACCTGGCCCTGAGTGTTCAACGCCTTGGCACTGAATGGGGAACATACTGACAGGTGTCAGGTGCTCACCTGCAGACCAGGGATGGTGAAGGCCACGTCCCGTGAATTCAGATAGGCCAGGACGCTGTGGGAGAGGTCTGCCGTCCACACGTGGGAGCTTCAGCCAAAGATAGACGGGAGAAGGTCACAATGACAGGTCCGGGGAGCGGCTCCCTATTAGCCGAGTGCCCAGGGGACCGATTCAGAGGATGGTGGGGCCAGACTGGGAGCTAGGAACTTTGTGCTTGGAAGTAGATTTGTTAACCTGGCATAGACACGAGGGAGCTTCTGATTCTAGGAATCAGCCTGGACCCCCTTTTTCAGTGACAATGATCAATTGCTGAGCTGTGTGCAATATTTAATTCCCATAATAATCTGCTGAGACTAACTGCAATCCAAGCAGACTGACTGGGAAAGATGTCCTTGCTCTATTAAGTTAAAAAGCAGATGATGTGTGTGCCCTGAGAGGCTGGAATGGTTAAGAGTGTGGACCCCAAAACCTGGATTTGAATCCTGGTTCTGCCACTTAATTTTATGATCCTAGGCCACTTACTGACTTTTCCTGTGCCTCAGTTTCCCTTTCTATATCACCTGGCCAACAATTGTGAGGACTTGATTCATTCACACCTGTAAAGTACTAAAAGCAGTGCCCAGCACATAGCAAATGCAGTTTCACTCATAACAGCCAAAAACTGGAAACAACTCAAACATCCAACAACAGGTAAAAAGTTAACTATGGGGCCTCCCTGGTGGCGCAGTGGTTGGGTGCTGGGTTGCGAAGCTGCCCTGCAGCCTCTGCAGTGCTGGTTCGATCCCCAGCTGCTCCCCGGCCACTGGAGGAGGGTCCCACATGGCGCGCAGACCTCTCCTGCCGCCCGCTGCTCCCCTCAGCAGTGTACTTCGGTCCTTCTGCCTGCTCTGCTCCCCACTCTGGCTCTGGTGAATTCTCTCACCCTCCCGCGCTTCTGACTGTACCCAGTGCTTGTATAAATAAATAAACAAATCTTTAAAAAAAAAAAGAAAAGTTAATTATGGTATATCCAGTCAGTGGAATACCACTCATCAGTGAAAAAGGAATGAGATTTTTGCTTCTGGCTATGATGAAGTAATAGTAATGGGATGGAATGGAAGGAAGATTTTCAGCCTGAAAGACTATATTTCAAACTATCAACTGCAGTTATGTTGAGAGGCGAATGTATGCATGTGTGTAGAGAGGTGTATGTATGTATGTGTGTAGAGTGGCGTATGTATGCACGTATGTATGTAGAGAGAGGCATGTTTATGTGGAATCTTTCACTTTAACATAATTTAGTGCCCCTGATGAGGCACCAAGGCCCCTATTTCTTTTACTCATCACGTTAGAATGTTCTTATAATATCTGTCTTTTTACACCCATGCAGTGCCTGCCACGTCCCTGGCCTGCAACGTTGGCCTACACATGGCAGACAGCAGGACAGAACAGGCCATGGACCCTGCTGGACACAAACACCGGCTCTGCACTGCCCGGAATTGACCTTGACTCGCCTCCTGTACCTCGGTGTTATTATTCTGCTCCACATGAGGATACAGGATCTACCTCAGGGGTGCCTGTGAGGAGAGATGTGTTTTTACGCATAAAGCACTTAGAAAGGACCTGCTCCCTGCACAATGAATGTTAGCCCTGTGCTGGCGCAGAGAGGAATAAAAGTTTGCAGAACAAATGCATCAACTTTAAAACGCCTGTACATTGTGAATCTTTTGTGCAATGAGCACACATTACTTTTTACAATTGAGGGACTTCCATTAAGAATTTTTATTAAAAATCTACCCCCTCCTTTGCCTTCCCCTCTAGGGTGGGTTACCTTTGAAACTGTATGAGATCCAGTAATGCTACAATGGGAATAAAATGAGAAGACAACTTAAAAAGGGATGTTTCCAGAGAGATCACAGGCACGTTCTGTTTGAAATTCTTAGAAGCTGCAAGGGGGGACAGAGTGGGGACATTACCATTCAGATAGCTTCCATCTATTATTTCTTCCTGAAAGGCAAAGAGATACCATCGAGTTGGCAGTTCTAGCAGAGGGAATTTTGATTAAAAGAAAAGGGGATACTCACAGCCATTTTTTGCAACAATAGATGCAAATCTGTAAGAAAGCCATTGAATGTATAACTAGAATTGAATTCTGTGACCTTCAAAAACATAAATATGGATTAGAAAAAGAGCCCCTTAAAAAGTCACTTGTGGAGGAAAACATTAGTGAATTTTAATTATCCCTGGGCCCATATGCACCCAATATGAAAAAACCTTGGTTTGAAAAACACTTATGGAACAACACTGAAAATCAAATCTAGATGAAATCAAATCTAGATGCACACACACACATGTGCACACAAGTACACTTCCCTAAACACTTTCCAGCATCATGCACTTAAATCTATTTACCCCCCTACATGCTGAACACATGTGCAAGCCATGACAGATGATTCCCCTACCCACCCCCAGGACCCCCCAGTGCCCCGCCAGGACTTACCCTGCCTGGACGTCAGAACTCTGGGACTCGCCACTCCATGGCTCAGGGAAAGGAGCAGGAAAAGGAAGTATGTCCCAGTTTCCTGAGACATTCTCCTGCAGTTAATTCAAGCATAGAAGTGATTCAGGTCTGCATCTTTAAAATATACTTAAGAACATCTAGAAGACAAAAGGGAAAGGCAAACAGCCCCAGGTCTTTTGAGGGTTTTTTTTTGTTTGTTTGTTTGTTTGCTTTGTTTTTTAAAGATCTATTTATTTATGCATAGAAGAACTGGGTGTAAGCCAGAGGTGCAAGGGGTGACAGGATTCACCAGAGACAGAGTGGGGAGCAGAACAGGTGAATCTACTGAAATACACTGCTGAGGGGAGCAGCGGGGGAGACAGGAGAGGTCTGCTGCGCCATGTGGGTCAGCTCTCTGGCCAGGGATCGAACTCAGGCCGCAGAGATAATAGCGTTGAAACTTAGCCCTTATGCCACTAAGGTGGCCTTGAGGTGGTGTTGTTATTGTTGTTTTTAATATTTTAAAATTCCATCTATTTGACTCCATCTAAACCTCTGTTCTAGTCTAAGACACAATCATCTTTCTCCTTGAGGACAACAAAGACCTGTTTGTATTCTTACCCCCTCCTATTGCCCTCAATTCAGCAAGGAGTGGATAAAATTATAGACTCTATTATATCTGACAAAGGACTTACATCCAGACTATTAAAAGAACTACTATAGTTCAATAAGAATAAGATAAACAAGACTTGGGTAGTGGGGGGAGGGAGAAGAATAGAAAAAAGGTAAGAACTTAAATTTCATTTAAAAATCAAAAATGGCAAAAAAGCACATAACACATTGCCAACACCATTAGTTATGAGAACATGCGAATTAAACCCCAAGGAGATACCACTGCATACCCGCTAAAATGGCTAAAAATTTGAAAGACTGACAAAACTAAGGGTTGACAATGGTATGGAGCAATAAAATTCCTCATACATCAATACAGCCACTTCAGAAAACTGTTTGGCAGGGTCTTTTATTTTTTTTTTAAAGATTTATTGATTTATGCATGCAAGAACTGGGGTACAGGCCAGAGGTGCGGGGGATGAGAGGATTCACCAGAGACAGAGTGGGGAGCAGAACAGGTGGATCTACTGAAATACACTGCTGATGGGAGCAGCAGGCAAGACAGGAGAGGTCTGCTGTGCCATGTGAATTGCTCCCAGGCCAGGGATCGAACTTGTGCTGCAGAGACTATGGATAGCTTCATAGTGTGGTGCTTAACCCCTTGTACCACCAGGGAGGCTCTGGCAGGTTCTTATAAAATTAAATATATCATACTGTATGGTCCAGAATTCCATGTGTAGGTAGGTAACTACCCAAAAGAAATTAGAACATCTGTTCATACAAAGACTTGTACGGTTTAATTCTTAATAGCCAAAAATTAGAAGCAATTCAAATATCTGACAACAGATGAAAGCAGAAGCAAAAATGGCATATCCATTCAATGGAATACCACTCATCAATAAAAAAAGGAAGAAGTTAGACATTTGGTTTCCAGCAGTGATAGAATAACAGGCCTAATTGAACCAGCCGGCCCCCTGATTCTGTGTAGCTCACAAGCTAAAGATGGTTTTGAATTTTTAAATGGTTAAAAAAAATTTCTTGACATTTGAAAATGTCACATGTGAAAGTTAAATTGTAATGTCCATAAATAAAGCTTTATCGGAATACGGCCATGCCTGTTCGCTTAAGGATGGTCTGTGCGGCTTCCACGTTATGATCCAGAGTCGAGATATTGCAACAGAGACTGTGTGGTCTACAAAACGGAAAATATTTACTACTGCTCCATTACTGAAAAAGTTTGCCAAGCCGGCTCTTAGAACTATATACTTGCATATTTATAAAAGAAATGTGATGTTTGAGATTGTTTCCAAATAATACAGGAGGGAAGGATTAGATGGAAGGCAGGTATAGATGAAACGGGATTGACTGTGTGTTGACAAGTGAGCTGGGTGATAGACATGACTTTTGTGAAAATTAATACAAGAAACCCAAACTAAATGAGGTCAGGAGGCTGGTCGAGCTCCCTGGATGCACAAGCAGCAAACTATAAGCCCCAGCATGCCCTGTGTCTCCCCGGGGTGCTGTCTCTCCACCCCAGCAGGAGGAAGGAGGTGCTTTGTGGCCAGTAAGATCCCCTCTAAAAGCAATATAAAGGGCCTCCCTGGTGGAGCAAGGGGTTAAGCTCCGCACTATGAAGCTATCCACAGCCTCTGCAGCACGAGGAGTTCAATCCCCAGCCCGCAAGGGAGCAACCCACATGATGCAGCAGACCTCTCCTATCTTGCCCGCTGCTCCCCTCAGCAGTATACTTAAATTAATCTGCCTGTTCTGTTCCCCACTCTGTCTCTGGTGAATCCTCTCACCTGCCCCACACACCTCTGGCCTGTACCCCAGCTCTTGTATGCATAAATAAATAAATCTTTTAAAAAAAAGCAATATAAAGGGGTGCTGGCCTTTGTTCTAGGGAAGTGCCCGTGTGTCTCCCCATAACAAATTGCAAATTGCCTTCTTGTTGTTATCAAATAAACCCATTTTGGTGGTGAAATAACTGCCAGCTTTTAGTTTGAGATCAACAAGTTCACTATGGGGCCTCCCTGGTGGCGCAGCGGTTGAGCGCTGGGTTGCGAAGCTGCCCACGGCCTCTGCGGCGCCGGTTCGATCCCCGGCTGCTCCCCGGCCACCAGCGGAGGATCCCACACGGTGCTCAGACCCCTCCTGGCGCCCGCTGCTCCCCTCAGCAGTGTACTTCGGTCCTTCTGCCTGCTATGCTCCCCGCTCTGGCTCTGGTGAATTCTCTCACCTCCCGCGCTTCTGACTGTACCCAGTGCTTGTACAAACAAAACAAACAAACAAAATAAATAAATAAAACATGCCTCTATAAAAAAAATAAATAAATAAAAAGATTTAAAAAAAAAAAAAGTTCACTATGGTCTTCTCTGTACTTTGCATGTGCTTGAAAACTTCCACCTTCATGGTTTTCAATAAGAAAAAGCAAGTAAGACTGTGTGCTTTTAATAAAGAGGGGGAACTAATGAGGGGAAACTAAGAAATAGGAGGTCAAGCGGCCTGGGGGTTAGGAACAAAGCAGATGAAGATGGAGTTTGGGGTGCTTGCAGAGAGGGGGCAATCAGAGGGAAACTGCATTGCACTTGCCTCCTCTGACTCTCAGGCAGCTGGGTGCCCTGTTACAGATCCTACCCTCTTAACAAGGACTTGAAGGGAACCCCCTAATACACACCTGTGGGTTCCTGACATTTTTTTTTTTTAGATTTTTTAAATTTATTTATTTATTTATACAAGCACTGGGTACAGTCAGAAGCGCGGGAGGGTAAGTGAATTCACCAGAGCCAGAGCGGGGAGCAGAGCAGGCAGAAGGATCGAAGTACACTGCTGAGGGGAGCAGCAGGCAGCAGGAGAGGTCTGTGCGCCATGTGGGACCCTCCGCTGGTGGCCGGGGAACAGCCGGGGATCGAACTGGCACCGCAAAGGTTGCAGGCAGCTTCGCAACCCAGCGCGCAACCACTGCGCCACCGGGGAGGCCCAGTTCCTGAGATTTTATAGGGACCCCAGCAACTTCAACACAGATTTCCACATATTAGCTTGTTATACAGATGGACTCCCCAAGGACACTTCCACCACCAGCTCTGCAAACAGCTCTGCTCATTTTACTTCCCAGGACAAAAACAAACTGAAACTTTGAAGCCTCCAAACATCAAAGCTGTTTTTGAGCAAAAACAGGTTTTTGAGCAAACCCATCCCGAAGCATATTGTAGGTGCCACCTGCCCCAGCCTGCAGCTAGGATGCTCCACTCAAGTAATAACTCTCGCTAGGTGTGGGGTTTTTTGGCTTTGGGGACCGGTTGTCTCTTTTTTCTTCCCTTCCCTTTGGTCAGCTGCCCTAGGGCATTGGCCTCATTCACAATTCTCCAGTTTCCCAGACAAAGAGGCTTCTTGTGCTTACTGCTACCATCCCCTTGTTAACTCTAGGAGGGGTTTACAATTACTGAAACAGATGCCCCCGCTTTCTACTGGGCTTAATGACTGGGTTCCAAGGAAACCCCAGCCGATTGCCCATACAGGATTTGGTTTTAATTAAAAGTCCTTTGGGTCACTCTCTTTCAGAAGGCCGGCCAAGTGGAGTGAAAGGACTGAGCAAGGTAATGGCTATTTGGGGGTCAAACGCTTTCTCATTGGCCCGCTCCCTCCCCACCGAAAGGCTCCCCCCTGCAGACCACAGAAATCAGGAAGGCAGGGGCTGCTTGGGTGGAACCCAGAAAATAAAAACAGCAACAATAACCACAGACTTGAGGTGAAAAACTACAAGGGTAAGCAGGAACCCACCGTCTAGGTTTCCTGGGGCTGAGGGGTTCCTGGGACATGGGATGTTCAGTTTTAAAACTAGGAAAGCAGCAGGCAAAGCATGATGGGCCGGTCACCCTGTGGATGACAGCCATGTCCTCTCCAGTGTGACTTGCAAAGGGGCTGGGGTTTCCCCAGCAGAAGCCAACCACGCCAAACCACGCAGTCTTACTGTCTGGAAGCAGTTCCACTTAAGGTCTGCAGTGTGGACTCGTGCGTGGGGGTCTGTGGACACTAACTTGGAGTGGTCCACCAAAAAGCAAAAGCAGAACACCCAGGATAGCATTTCTCATTACTGCTCATGCACAAGGGCCAACTTGTCTGGCTTGTAGAAACCAGGCTGACGAAGAGCCCCAGCTGTACCTCACACCTTGATGTTGGAATGGCCCAGCTCACGGAGCTGCAGAAGCTGAGGGCACGGACACATTCTGCACCACAGACATGGACCCCTGAGCCCCTGCACCCCGGCAGTGGGTCTGGACTGTCACTAGCCTCAGAGTTGGAGGCCCCAACTCTGAGGTTCAGAGATGAAAGGAGGCTAGAGAGGAAGAAACTGGCTTTACAGCACTTTTCAGGGGTTCATGTGAGCCCCACCCTGGTTTACTCTTTCCCTCTGCCCTGAAGGTTTATTTGACCTAGTCTCACACAGAGGTCACAGAGCAAGCAAATGGCAGAGAGGGG